GAGAAACTAGAAACATATTTGGGTTTATGGATAAACATTTTGTGCCATGCTGCAGAATTTCCTATGAGAAAGCACATGTTTCTAGACAGTATTTGTGATCTGCCAATCCACAGGATGTCAATACAAATATTAAGAAAAGTAAAGTGTACATTTTCAGTAAAGAAGATTTAAGAAATGAGATTTTCTTTTAGTTAAAAAAAGATAAACTTGTCCTGAAGTATTAGGAGAGAGGAAAGAAGGCATGGAACAAATTCTGAATGTAAAAAGAAAGTTATAGAAGTGGAACCTTGAGGAAAGAATTTTGTGCATGGTCAAGTTGGCTAAGATTAATATGAACTTAAATAAATGAGTTTTAATATCAAAAGTAAGCTGGTGCAAAATTAAAATTTGTTTTTCTCTCTCCCTCTCTTTTTTTTTAAAGATTGGCACCTGAGCTAACATCTGTTACCAATTTTCTTTTTTTTCTTTTTCCAAATCTTCTCTCTAAACACCCCCAGTACATAGTTGTATATTCTAGTTGTGGGTCCTTTTGGTTGTGCTATGTGGGATGCCACCTCAGCATGGCTTGATGAGTGGTGTCATGTCTGCACCCCGGATCCGAACTGGTGAAACACTGGGCTGCTGAAGCAAAGCACGCAAACTTAACCACTGGGCCACGGGCTGGCCCCTGTTTTTCTCTCTCTTAAAGGGATAATTTTCTTGAACATTTAGTCTGCTCTTGATAAAGAGATTATAAAAGATGGTTATTTTTCAGTAAGTCTACCTAAAAGACAGAAAATCTATGTTTAGTTAAAATAATTTCCTATGTGCCAAAAGGCTGAAATCTCCCTATTAGGAGAACTTAGGTATTTTAAACTATTCTTTGAGTTTAAGCCACTCAAAAGACACCTGATCACCTGTGACATGATCAGAGACGTTTCAAACAGCAAAAGATGCTTCAGCCCGGACATCTGGAAATCTTCTTGACTGGCTGTCCCATTAACTCAGGAATTGGTTTATAATTTGCTCCAACCACCATCCTTGTTTTTCTTTTTCTTTTGCTAGAAATGCTTCTTATTAAATACTTGGTTACTTGCTTATACAATATAGGCCTAACTTTGGATGACACTTCCTATGTTCTAGAGATGATCCTGGGGACCCAAAGAGAACTCAAATTAAGGAACTAGATACCATCAGATGTTCCTCTGCACCATCTTCACTGTGGAGACTGGGTCCTATTGAAATCCTGGGAGCACAAGCACCCAGATCAACTTCATCCCCACTGGATGGGACCACACAAAGTGGTGCTGGTAATGCACTCCTCAATAGAGCTGAAAGGAATTAAGCCATGGATCCACCATACTCAAGTCAAGCCAGTCCCATGAGTATCTTCAGACCCACCACATCTCATCTTCTAGAACACCACGGGAAGTGGGAACTATACCGTGGAAGAACATTGTAGCTGAGATCATCCTAACCTCTACAGTCTTCATACTCCAGACACTGACTTCTCCAAATGACAAGTGAACCCCTGACAGACCTCAAGTTGTGGTTCAGAAGACAGTCTCCTAAAAATAAGTAATGAATGACTCCCAGGTTTGTACCTTACCTGTTGGACTATTTGCTCGTCTTTTCTTAATTTTCTACTTGCTGTGATTTACAGTGTACTACCTAAAGGGCTAAACAACTTCCTTTGTAAACCAATCAATAGTTTCTAGTATAGCTTCCGCAAGATAAAGACCACAAATTGGACTATAAACGTGATTGTTCTTTTCTTTTTCTGTTATGCTTCCTTGTTGACTTTGACACCCCCCAAACCTGGAAGGACAATTTAATGACTAAAATTTCTCAGATGTTGGCAAAGGCAGGTGATCTTTCTAGATATTGGATCTGTCATCCCAAACCATATTCAGTGTATGACCATGGAAACCCCTTGATAATTCTGGTTTATAATGTCACCAGACTTTCCCCCTTGAAAATTAAAAATGTAACCTATAAACATGTCACAGACAGAGCCTGGCTGGGCCACCTACCAAATGAGACAACAAGCTACATGGGTACAGAAAGTATCCCCAGAGGTGCCAGGTCTAAACTGTTTTTCAGGATTATTCTCTTGGATTCCCCAAGGGATCAGATCTATTCTTCAGGGACTATTAAAATTTGCGTTACCTCTACTTCTTATCTTTCTGGTTGGATACTTGATTATAAAATGTGCCTTTGCATGTTGTTCCAAAACTGTTGAACAAGATATGAAAATTCTAATATAATGCAAAATGTCACCCTGAAGCTTGGAACAAGAGAATATTTCCAAATGAGTGCTAAACAGTTCCATTTCTCTAATCCAGATCTATGCCCCAGTTCAGCAGGAAGTAGCTAGATCGGTCATCACCCCGAATCCCACAAGAATTAGGAATGACCAATGAATAGAGGGGATTGAAACTGGTGAATAGTTAGCCATTAATGATTCGGTAGCTAGTAACTAAAGTGGTTTTTTTTTTTTTTGGCAGTTATTAATTGTAGATTTTAGTGTTCACTCACTCATTGTTAGTGGTGCTGCGCAGGCAATATATTATCTGACTCCCACTAGGCTCCTCATAGATTACATCCCTGATGCCTAGGTCACCATGGTAATGGATGCTTGAGTTTTTTCAGGAAATAAGAGTCGACCCCTGTCTAGTTCAGGCCAGTCAAGACCAACAACCCACGAATAGAACCTATGCAGGTGTGCAATAAGTGAACTCCTAACATCAGAGAACTAAAAACTCCAGCCTCAGATCACACAAATGCCACCATTTTGTGAACATGCATCCTATAAAAAGTTACGAAGTTTGACTGTGCTTGTACACATCATCAATTACCTTATGCCTCCTTACCACCAATCATCTATTCCCACAGTTCAGACCACCTTGCCCCTGTATCCCATTAATATTCCTAGTCCCCCTTTGTGGGGAGGCAGATTTGAGACTTGCCCTCCCATCTCCTCAATTGGCTTCCTTGTGAATAGACTCTTTCCCTGCTGCAAACTTTTCATCTTGGTGATTGGCTTTTTGTGTGATGGGCAAGATGAACCTGGCTTGGTAGCAGTTTCATCATTCTGGCAGTTTTGTGGTTGTTGTTGTTGTTGGAGTACTTCAAGACAAAGCCAAGAAATTGATTCCCATGAAAATTGGGAACACTGACATGAGCTGTTCTGCTCCAGGGCAGGGAGTGGAGCTGGAGCACCTTCTCTCTCCACCTCCTCTCTTAACACTTGCTGATACCTCCCATTGGCTAGCCACACCTGGAAGCCAGAGGGCAAGAACGCCCCAGTGATGCCACCTGTAGAGTCAGCCTCCAGGGGCACAGAGTAGTCAGGGAAGGGTGGAGAATGGAAAAGCAGAGGAGACAGCACAACCAGCACACTGGTGACCCCTCAGTCTATGACCCCCAGCTCATATCTTTCTCTTGCATTCTAGACCTGTGATGCCCAATACAGTCGGCATACTTCCCACTTTCCTTCCCTCTGAACTTAGTAATCATTTGTAATCTTTCCAATGGTACACTTTAAAGTTCTATTTCTTTTTCCTTCACCTTTTGATAGTGTGTCTCCACTCTGTTCTGTAGAATGAAGACTTTACTATAACTTTTGCTTTTGTCAAAACTGACTATAGTGGAGCCATTTTAAAATGCAGTGGAAGCTGCCTTCCAGAAAAACTGCTTTGCTGTCTTGAACCTGGGACTGACCAAACCTTTGGAACTGGGTGAAACCAGCAATTGTTTTACAAGCCATTGTTTGAGCAGTCAGCAGGAGAATGAAGAACCTGATCTTAAAGACTGAGGATATATACTTTCTGAAGACAGAATCAATAATCTATCAATGTTTAGTCAAATCTAGCTCTCTACCTCCAACTCTAATTAAAACTCTTTGTAATACGACTTCCCTTCTTTGCCTTTAAATTCACCTGAGGGCCGGCTGGTGGCATGGTGGTTAAATTTGGGCTCTCTGCTTCAGAGGCCCATGGTTTCAGGTTCAGATTCAAGGCATTGACCTACACCCCGCTGATAAAGCCATGCTGTGGTGGCATCCCACATACAAAATAGAGGAAGATAGGCACAGATGTTAGCTCAGGGCAAATCTTCCTCACCAAAGAAATAAAATAAAAGCCCCTGACTTTTAGTCCCTAGATGGACACTATTTGGGTTCCTACCTGAATCTGTGCTCCCCAATTGCAATTCTCTGATCCAAAAATAAATGCTTGGCCTTCTTCAACTGGTTTCTGTTTTTGTAGGCTCTCACTTTGTAGAGATTTAAAACTTTTTCTCAGGGCCGGTCTGGTGGTGCAGTGGTTAAGTGCCCACGTTCCGCTTCTGTGGCTAGGGTTCCCAGGTTTGGATCCCAGGTGCTGACATGGCACCGCTTGGCACACCATGCTGTGGTACATGTCCCACATATAAAGTATAGGGAGATGGGCATGGATGTTAGCTCAGGGCCAGTCTTCCTTAGCAAAAAGAGGAGGATTGGCAGCAGTTAGGTCAGGCTAATCTTCCTCAAAAAAAAAAAAAAACCCAAAACTTTTTCTCTGCTCTATTCAGTTCCCTCAACTAGGACTTTGTGCAAAGCCACCAAACTTAATCTGCCTTGGCTATTCTTTAAACGCTTCTCGCCTATGTACTGCTATCCCTCAGATCAGCCTTGGACTAGGTCTTGGGGATCAAAAACATTTATTTCCTAGCTTAGGAGGAGCAGGCATTTGCACCCAGGGAAGCGCGTTCTGAGGGACCCCACAAGAGCAGAATCTGAACCTTGCAAAGGAAGAAACATATTCACTTTCCCGGGAGCAAGCCTTCCAGGTCGTCTGGGAATTGTTCTCCTCAGCCCTCAAAATCAAGTCCCGAGTCACAGTGACTCAGCAATTCTGAGCTTAAATGACAACAGTCTTCCGCACCCCCCCCCCCCACCCCCACCCTTTGCCCTCCCCGTTCATGCCTAGGCGATTTCCCCCCGCTAGGCGAGGCACGAGGGAAGCGCCCTACTGAAGCCTTGAACGCCATCGGAAACTTCCTTCTCGTATCCCCAGGTAGACCCATGGGGCCTCTCGTCTGCCCCACCCCTACTATCAAAGGTCTCTACTCCAGGCCCCTGATTCCGCCTCCTTCCTAAAACTGCAGCCAACGTGCTGCGCCCTGCGCCCCAGCGCCCGGGTGGCCGGCTCCGCCCTTGCGCTCCCCACGCCCCTCCCACGGGCTTCCCCGCGTCCCAGGCTCAATTGGCCGTGCAGGGTATAAAGTACCCGGAGCTTTGCGGGCTGCACAGGCGGCAACCCGGCCACCAGTCGTCCAGCCAATCAGCGCCCCGCCGGAGCCATGGCTGGTAAGTGCCCCCGTTCGCGGAGCTCCGCAGCCTCCAGCCACTGAAGTTGTGCAGGCGATTGTGGGGTCTGCGCCCTGAGTGTTCTTCCTGGACTCAAACTGGAAAAGTGAAGGCATTGGTGCCCTGGGATGCGCCCTGATGGGACCCCAGGAGACGGGGAGCTCCTGTTTCTACCCCACCCCCACAAACTCGGGGAGGGGAGAGCGTTGAGTAGAGACTTGACCTTGGAAGCAAAAATTTCTTCCAAAACAGGTCGGAAACCGGCCCTCGGAGGCCAAATCTGGCCCACTGGCGCACCTTGTTTGGCTTTAGTAATATTTAAGACACTTTGGAATAAGCTGCTAACATTTAAAATAAACATAGACGATATCACTTAAAAATGTGGAGTCCCAGTTTCTGCAGGAAAATTGAAAGATATGGCGATGGGTGGGCTGGAGCTGGGGAAGCTGCTCCCTTTGTTTTGACAGAGACCAGACCCAGTCCCAGGCTGCCTGGCCCAGGAGACATTTTCAGTTGTGACCCTTGGACTGGACTGGGCAAACCCGATCTGGTACGGGTCCATTTCGAGTGACAGAGCCTCCCCTCTCCTCCATCAACCTGAGGGGACCTTAGAGGTGACCACACCTTTATCGGATGTGTGAAGGACCTGTTAGGCATCCTGGACCCACTGCAACACCTGCAGGGGCAGGGAGCTCTGTTTCCCAGGGAGCCTTACTCGGAGGTTGGAGGGTGCTAAAACTTAAGTGAGCTGTTTCCTCAACTAGGGCAGAACTCTACCTTTTTGTGATTTCCTTCCCTCTAAACCTAGTTCTGGGGGCCAGCCCAGTGGCACAGTGGTTAAGTTCGGACATTCCGCTTCAGCAGGCCAGGGTTCGCCGGTTGGGATCCTGGGTGCGGACATGGCACTGCTTGGCAAGCCATGCTGTGGTACGCGTCCCACGTATAAAGTAGAGGAAGATGGGCACGGATGTTAGCTCAAGGCCAGTCTTCCTCAGCAAAGCAGAGAAGGATTGGCAGCAGATGTGAGCTCAGGGCTATCTTCCTCAAAAAAAAAAGAAAAGAAAAAGAAAAGAAACCTAGTTCTCCTGTCTGAAAACACACACACAGAATCCCATCTTGCTGAAAGGAAGTGGGAGGAAGACACTGCTGCTGCAGTTGACAAACTACAGTAAGAATCTCTGAGAAAAGCACTGAGCTGGGGGTTAGAAGTCCACCCAGAGTTTCTAGAAGCCTAGGGCGGAAGCATCTGGGAGAGACTGCACGGTAGCTGACAAGGCTTCCTGTATGCATGTTAGAGGATGTTACTTAGACAAAAAAAGGTGGGAGAGTGAGTATGAGAGAAAATTGTAAGATTTGAATCTTGTATGACTAGTATTAGCTGTACCCAGCTAACCACATCTTGAGGTTAACTGAAGCAGTGTTTGCTTGCAACTAACAGACGTGTCTGACTCGCCTGCCTGCCTTGAGGAATCCACTGAGCCCAGGGGGCAGAAGCAGAATGCACGAACTGATTTGAGGGCCCGCCCTTGTTGTATTTCGAATAGGTTCTCCTTGATTGCATATTCTTCCTGCCAAATGATCATGTGGGTACTATCTCTTTAACCGTTAAAGATACCCAGACATGCTTTCATTAGAGTGACATACTGCAGTCTGCTTCTCTCACCGCCAGCGTTATGTGTTTTGTCGTTAAGTTCTATGTTGGTCGTCAGGGAACCAGAGGACGATTTAGTCCGGAAGGTTAGTGAAAACTCTTGGTTTCAGAACGGCCTGAGGTTGAAGGCAGAGAATTGTAGGGATGTCAGAGCAACATATGAGGCAAGAGGTCAGCTCCCAAGAGACAGTCAGGATGCTTCGGCCAGCAGAATGTACTCTCCATGAAGGGAAAGGTTCGCGTCTGCTTTGTCCACTGATGGATCCCAAATGTCCAGAGCAGTGCTTGCTGCATAGCAGGTGCTCCATGATCCGCGGTGGAGAGGCTGGGAGGATGGGTTAGTGAGAACATGAGCGTTTCAGGGGGGAAGGCAGGTGGCTGGTGTGGACTTGGGTGGAGATGGAAGACATAGGCTGGTGGGGAAGCAAGGAGGGCTTACAGGACACGCAGAAGTGAGGGTGAACTGGAGCATGTTTTGTAGGGACCGGGATCTGGACGTGAACCAGTGCAGGGAGAGAGATGCATTGACAACGATGTGCTCAGCTCGCTTAGAAATGGTCGCTTCTATTAGATAAATGACGTGCATGACCAGCAGAAATGAATGTTAAACCAGAGGTACTGATCATAATCCCATTTGTCTCTCAAAACTCGGCTCAAATGGCAGCTGCTGCTGAAGGCTGCTCCTAACTGGCCAGGCCTGAAGTGAACAGCTTTCCTCTGTGGAACTCTGTCGCTTGCCTCTCCCATCAGGCCAATGCCATTAGTTATTTGTGTATGTGTCCTATCGTCTTTCTTAGGGTAAATTCTGAGAAAGTCAGATTTGTCATGCAGCTAGTTAAGTGGCAGGAAGGCAAACTGAACGTTCCAAGTCCAGAAACTCAGGTTTGTCCATGAAAAATGACCTGGAAACGAGTGACTTGGAAGTATGCCGTTTGGGTCACAAATATCCTGATTGAGCCTTTACTTCCGGCAAATAGCGTGAGTGTTCTGTTAAGTGCAAGTGAATGTTCTGTTACTGCCTATTCATAGCCTGGGATCCTTTTTCTACTGGGTTGTTTTTAGGAATCTATATATTCCAGGTCTTGAACTCTGTTGGTTATATTTCTGGCAAATATTTTCTTCTGTTTGCATCCTTAGTTTTCTTATGTTTGAAGGTCACAGGCGTGCCCAAAGCTGGTACATGGGGGGCTCCGTGAAAGCAGGGGTGGATATCCTCACTTTCTCAAGATTTTCTGGGACGTGCCTTTAGTTTTTACTACTTAGGAAATGCTTGTTAAGATTGATAAGGAATGAAAAATATATGTATGTCTCGATAAGGAGTAAGCCAAGAGAGTAAAAACAGACGAAGCAGTGTTCAGTAAGCATTGCTGTGCCTGATGCAAAGGTCACTTGCAAGGAAAGTGCATGGCAGCGTCAACGTGCCCTCATTGCTTCCAAGCGTGTAAGTTCATGAGTTGATAAGAAAGGTGTGGGAATTGGTTGAGGCAGCCTCAGGAATTCCTTTCCTTTTCCCAGGCCATCCAAAGCAGAAAAATCACCTCCATAGCACTTAAATCCTCATGAAAGTCATATTCCACCAAATCTGACTTTACAGGGTCTGAAACGCCAGGCTGGACTGAGCCTGGAGAGCCTCGTTTTTGGTGTGCAGGGGCCTGAAGCTCACGCCTGGCTGAAGTTCACCCAAGGGCGCTGCCCATGGCAGGCGTGGTTAATGATAAAACCGAGACGAGGACTGAAGGCTTCAGTGTGGCTGTCTAGTTAATTTTCTTCTAACTGCACAGAGAGGTGCAGGTGCCTTCTCCAGCTCCACCCACAGCGCCACAGTTGAGTGAGTGAGGTGTGAAGTAGGGGTCCAGTTAGTGGGAGGGATGGCGGCGGTGAGCAACTTTCTCTGGTTCCGCCCCACGCCCTGCATACCGTGGCGGGGGTTTCTCTAGGTCTGTATAGTTGTAGATGATTCCGGCTTCACCACTTGCTGTGGAAACTTGGGTCACTTGCGTAACTTTTCTCTGCCTCAGTTTTCTCCTCCATACTGTGAGGATACTAATTGTATTTACTGCATGGCGTTCTCGTGACAATTGAGAAGAATGCAAAGCCCTTAGAGCAGCGCCTGGCACACGGTAAGCGCCCACCGTATGCTGTTACTGCAAAAGTGAAGGATGCTCATTCTAACAACCTTACTAATACCGAGGAAGTCCAAGAAAGAGTGCGTCTTCCCCTCTGCCTCTACCCCCTCACCGTCTCTTACCCAAGAAAACGGTTGTTTCATGTGATCAATCCACTTCTTTTTCCCCCATACCAATATACTGCAAATCTACCTACATATATGTAGTTTCTTTCTGTTTTGTAAAAATGGATTCACATTCGCTTCTTTTTATCATTTAACAATATATCCTGGGTATCTTTCTGGGTGACTCATTCTTGTTAACAGCATAATATTCTGTAGTGTGTATGTACCATAGTTTATTCCACTGCTCCCCATAAATCGACAGTCAGCTTATACCTGACTTTTACCAGTGGAAGGAATGGTACAGGACTCCTCCTTGCTCCTAGATCCTTATGTCCTGATGCTTTCAGTCTGTAGAACAGATTCCCCAGAGTTGGACAGCTAGATCAAAGATTTATGTGCCTTCAGAATTTTAAAAGATTCAGCCTGATTACTTTCCCTGCTGAGGCAATTCATATTCCCACTGGCAAGGTGCCTGTCCTCCTGAGTCTTCTTAGCCCTCAGCGTTACTTGTCTTCAATTGTTTTGCCAATCTGTTGGGTAATAATGACATCTCATTTTAATTTGCTTTTTCTGACAGGCCAGGCGGGGCACCTTCTCGTTTGTTTGTTGTGATCTGCATTTCCTCCTCTGCAAATAGTGTGTTCAGATCCTTGACTTATTTTTCTTTTGCATCATCTGTCTTCGACTTATTTGTAGGCATTTTTTGGGATTTTAACTCTTTGAGATAAGAGTTGCAGATAACTTCTCCTAGTTGACTGTCTTTTGACTTTGTTTATGGTGCCGTGGGTAAAGACACGTTTTTCATTTTTATGTGGCTTTATTTCTCAAGCTTTTCTTTAATGCTTTCTGAATCTCTAGTCTTTCTTAAAAACTGTTCTCTGTCGTGAGGTTAGACAAATTCTCCCTTTCCTTCCATACTATTCTAATAGTTTCATTTTTAAAAAATTAGATCTTTAATCTGCCAGTAAACTATTGCTGTATGTGGTGTGTCAGTGGGTTAGTTAATAACAATAGCTTTTATTGAATACGCTAGACACACTGAACAGTGCACATGTTCTAAGTGAATTTTCACAAACCAAACACACACTTGTGTGATGAGCACCCAGATGAAGAAAGAGAACATTGCCAGCACCCCAGAAGCCCCTTCTGTGCTCTTTCAGTTGCTCGCCCCATGAAGGGTAATCACCATACTGACTTCTCACACCCTTGCTTAGTTTTCTAAGGGGAAAACTGTATTTTCATGCAGATGGCTGATTAAGTATGCCCACACCATTGACTAGTTAGCCACTGTTTTCCCAGAGAGTTTAAAATGGCTCTTTTGTTCATTGCTACTTTTAAGGAGAAAATATCTTTCTGGTTGTAGTGGATGGATTGCATAACCTGAGGTCTAACTGAGTCGCCTCTTCCATCGTGGATCCTGGCTCAGCTCCCTGTAGCCGAAACTTTGCTGGTTGGTAACTGACCGTGTGCATTATGTGTGTCTAATCAGCCAGAAAAGCCCTGATCGTACTGGCCCACTCAGAGAGGACATCCTTCAACTATGCCATGAAGGAGGCTGCTGTGGAGACTCTGAAGAGGAAGGGATGGGAGGTCGCTGAGTCGGACCTGTATGCCATGAACTTCAACCCCCTCATCTCCAGGAAGGACATCTCAGGTAGGAGCAGCTCTCCCCTTTAATTAGGTCCTTGTGGAACTGCTCCCCTGGGGGTTCTCTGGCCCCAGCCTCCTTTTCCTCTCTGCAGGTAAACTGAAGGACCCTGAGAACTTTCAGTATGCTGTGGAGTCTACTCTAGCTTATAAAGAAGGCCGTCTGAGCCCAGATATTGTGGCTGAACAAAAGAAGCTGGAGGCTGCAGACCTTGTGATCTTTCAGGTGTGGTAGGACATCAGATGGGGTGTCAGGAGACTTGAGTTCTTATTGTCCTGGACCTATCACTTAATTAGCTATGTGGTCATAGAAAAGTCACTTACCCACCTGACTGCATTCTCTCCAAAGCACAGTGATCACTTCAAAGGTGCAGCATTAGACAGATTTATAGATTTCGTAGATTTATACAATCTGTCTATTACTCTGAAAATATGAATGTGTCTACAAACACGACATGGGAGCCTTGAGCTTTTTTTCCCAGTGTGTTTCATCTTTTCTTCAATTAGTGATTCCTTGTGGAACCTCTCAAAGTTTGCAGTTTTCCCTCTCTCTGTAAGCATCCTGAATAGTTTGTGGAGTGCTGCGTGTGAGAGAGACTTCTCTGCTGTTGGAGGTTCCCAGCTGAAGGGTGCATTGCCCTGCTTAATGTATTCCAGCAGCACACCAGCCTTCTTCTCCCGGAGGCTGCCTCACGAGTTAGCAGTCAGTACTGGAACTGTGTGTGCCCCTTGTCATCTTTCGTGAAAATGCCAGACTCTACTCCATGACTTTGCTTCTACCAATTCCGACCAGCGCTTTGATATTGAATGTGAAAAGAACATGATGCTGGAAACTTCACAAGAAGGGTGATACCAGCTGTGGCTTTTGGAATTATTCCATCAGCTGCAAAGAATCCAACCTTTGAAGTCCCTTATTCTACCTGTTGCTATGACTCAAAGCCACACAGCGTTAGTGCCCCAAAGGATGCCTTCTCGGTCCATGTTTACTACTGCGTCTTGTCCTAGTGCAGCCAAGACAGCAGCAGTAGCAGCTTTTAGTTCTGCATCTCAGAATCATCAAATTTTAGAATTGGAAAGGACCTTGGTGGCCTTTAAATTCAGCTTCTATTTGATACGTAAGTTTTCTTTACTATCAGTACCACTGAGCAGGTTGTGTTACCAATTTCACCTCACTCCTGTGGGACTCCGACCCACATTTGGAGGAGCTCCGGGGAGGGGCCCACAATCCCTCCCTTCCTCGGAGGGTTCCTTCCTGATCAGTGTCAGGGATTTGAAAGGAACCACAGGTGACTGTTCAACAGCACAAGCTTTTATTCGATGGCTGAAGAATGGAGAAGTAGGAACTATGTTCACAAATCAGCTTCTCAGCTCCTGGGGCGATTAGGCAGCTGTTTTAAGGGGTCTGAGTAAGAAGGGAAGGAATATTCATAGTTATTCAGGGAAATGGGCAGGCTTTTCTGGGGAGCAGGGGGGCCACCTCTTCTCTTTCCTTATTTTGTTATATCCTGCCGTTGCCATGGCAATTGTAAACTTTCATGGTGCTGGTGGGTGTGTTATGTAGCATGGTAATGTATTACAATGAGCTGTGGGGTCTGTGTCAGGTCAAGTCAGAGTGCCATGTTGCCATCAACCGATTTTAACTGGTTTCGACTACATGTCTCAGCTATCTCCTCATTCCTCTCATTGTGGTTTCCTGTAAGCTAAAGAGAATGCATTAGGCTTGTTCTATTTGTGTGTGTGTGTGTGTGTGTGTGTTTGTGTGAGGAAGATTGGCCCTGAGCTAACATCTGTTGCCAATCTTCCTCTTGTTGCTTGAGGAAGATTGACGCTGAGCTAACTTCTGTGCCAGTCTTCCTCCAATTTATTTGTGACGCTGCCACTGCATGGCTTGATGAACGGTCCTAGGTCTGCGCCTGGGATCTGAACCCATGAACCTGAAGCGGAGCACACGAACCCAACCTCTACACCACCAGGCCAGCCCCTCCCCTAGGCTTGTTCTGCTTAGCATTGTTGTTAATGTCTTACAGGGCCAGGGGCCCGGGTAACAGTTGCGCACTGCAAAATAGCAATACATCGAAGGGCAATGTAAACACTTCATGTTGGTACATTTATCATAACAGTTCCCCTACAGATGACAGGAAAAGTCTTATTCTAGCAAAATGAGTGTACTATGTATGATAGTCTGTAACATGGAAATAAAGTGTCCTGAGGAAGGAGTGCTTTAATTCTCCTTGAGGAAGGAGATGCCATATGGGCTAGCCCCCTACCCACTTTTCTCACTTCTGCAAACAACTTGAGGGAGAGTAAACTTTTAATGCTCCGCAAGCCCACCAATTCTGTTTTCAGCTCTGACTAGAGAACATTCAAAGGGGACCCAATCTACTCGCCTATATAACCTACACGTTTATCCTAAAAGCTGCAGATCTGGCCCCTCACAATTGGAGGGTCATAATGTGAGAATTTGAGAACCACCAGACCCAGTCGAGCCCCTCTTTGTACAGCTGAGGCAGAGGAAACTTAGGGAAGGTGTGGGGCTTGTGTGGCAAAAGTCGTGCGTCAAGGTAGTGGCAGATTCAGGATGAGAACTCAAACCTCGCTCTCAATCGTATGTTCTTCCTGTTCTAAAAGCCTGCTTCCTTAACCCCATTTCTGTAGGTCAGCAGCCCTTTCAAGAGAGAGCTCACGAGTCCTACAAATCCCTTCTCTGTCCTAGTCTTTTTCCTCCGGGCATGTTCTAATTGTCATCATCTTTAAATCATGAGTCAAAGAAAATAAGAAATTTGGTGAGGTGCTTACTCTGCCTTTATCAGGACAAGAGGCCCAATAATTGGACTTTCTCATGGGAATTCCCTGATAACCCTATGTCACACTGTTTGTTTGGATATTTGAGTGGTTCTGTTCTAAATGATAAGATTTTATATCTGTGAGCATAAGGTTTGTGTTTCTTTTTTTTAATTGAGGTCATACAGTTTATAACATTGTGAAATTTCATTTGTACATTATTGTTTGTCGCTCACCATATAAATGCATCTCTTCACCCCTTAAGCCCACCCTCCACCCCCCTTCCCTTTGCTAACCACTAAACAGTTCTCTTTGTTGGTGTGTGTATCTTCCATAAATGAGTGAAATCATATGGTGTTTGTCTTTCTCTGTCTGGCTTATTTCACTTAATACCCTCAATGTCCATCCGTTTTGTTGTGAATGGGATGATTTTCCTTTTTTATGGCTGAGTAGTATTCTGTTTTGTGTGTGTGTGTGTGTGTGTGTGTGTGTATATATATACACATATATATACACCACATCTTCTTTATCCAGTCCTCAGTTGATGGGCCCTTGGGTTGCTTCCAGGTCTTGGCTATAGTGAATAATGCTGCAGTGAACATAGGGGTGCATGAGTCTCTTTCAATTGTTGATTTCAAGTTCTTTGGATAAATACCCAGTAGTGGGATAGCTGGGTCATATAGTATTTCTATTTTCAATTTTTTGAGAAATCTCCATACTGTTTTCCACAGTGGCTGCACCAGTTTGCATTCCCATCACCAGTGTATGAGGGTTCCCTTTTCTCCACACTCTCCAACATTTGTTATTTTTTTTTTCTTGGTGATTATAGCTATTATAATGGGTGTAGGTAGTATCTTAGTGTAGCTTTTTTTTTTTTTTTTTGAGGAAGATTAGCCCTGAGCTAACATCTGCTGCCAACCCTCCTCTTTTTGCTGAGGAAGACTGGCCCTGAGCTAACATCTGTGCCCATCTTCTATTTTATACGTGGGATGCCTGCCACAGCATGGCCTGACAAACGGTGCCATGTCCGCACCTGGGATCCAAACCGGTGAACCCTGAGCCACCTAAGCAGAACGTGCGCACTTAACTCTGTGCCACCGGGCCGGCCCCCTTAATGTAGTTTTGATTTGTATTTGGAAAAATGTCTGTTCATATCATCTGCCCATGTTTTGATTAGGTTGTTTGTGTTTTTTTGGTCATTGAGTCGTGAGTTCTTTATATATTTGGGAGATTAACCCCTTGTAGGATATATGAATTGCAAATATTTTCTCCCAGTTGATGGGTTGTCTTTTCATTTTGATCCTGGTTTCTTTTGCCTTGTAGAAGCTCTTTAGTCCGATGAAGTCCCACTTGTTTATTTTTTCTTTTGTTTTCCTTGTCCAAGTAGACATGCTATTTGAAAAGATTCTTCTAAGACCGATGTCAAAGAGTGTACTGCGTATATTTTCTTCTAGGAGTTTTAAGGTTTCAGGTCTTATGTTCAAATCTTTGATCCATTTTGAGATAATTTTTTTGTATGGCGAAAGATAATGGTCTTCTTTCATTCTTTTGCATGTGCCTGTCCAGTTTTCCCAGCACCATTTATTGAAGAGACCTTCCTTTCTCCATCATATGTTCTTAGCTCCTTTGTTGAAGAGTAGCTGGCTGTAGATATGTGGTTTTATTTCTGGGCTTTCAGTTCTGTTCCAATGATGTGTGTCTGTTTTTGTACCAGTACCATGCTGTTTTGATTACTATAGCTTTGTAGTATATTTTGTAGTCAGGGATTGTGATGCCTCCAGCTTTGCTCTTTTTTCTCAGGATTGCTTTAGGTATTCAGGGTCTTTTGTTGTCCCATATGAATTTTAGGATTCTTTGTCCTATTTCTGTGAAGAATGTCATTGGGATTCTGATTGGGATTGCATTGAATCTGCAGATTGCTTTAGGTAGTATGGACATTTTTACTATGTTTATTCTTCCAATTCATGTGCATGGACTATCTTTCCATTTCTTTATGTCATCATCGATTTCTTCCAGTAATGTCTTATAGTTTCCATTGGATAGGTCTTTCACCTCTTTGGTTAAATTTATTCCTAGATATTTTATTCTTTTTGTTGCAATTGTAAATGGGATTGTATTTTTTAGTTTTCCTTCTGTTAGTTTGTTGTTAGAGTATAGAAATGGAACTGATTTTTGTAAGTTGATTTTGTACCCTGCAACTTTGCTGTAGATGTTGATTATTTCTAATAGTTTTCCGATGGATTCTTTAGTGTTTTCTATATGTAAAATCATGTTTTCTGCAAACAGCGAGAGTTTCACTTCATTGCCTCTTTGGGTTCCTTTTCTTTCTTTTCCCTGCCTAATTGCTCTGGCCAAAACCGCCAGTGCAGTGTGAGAATGGGCACCCTTGTCTTGTTCCTCTTCTCAGAGGGATGGTTTTCAGTTTCTCCCCATTGACTATGATGTTGGCTGTGGGTTTGTCATATATGGCTTTTATATTGAGGTACTTTCCGTCTATACTCATTTTATTGAGAGTTTTTATCATAAATGGCTGTTGGATCTTATCAAATGCTTTCTCTGTGTCTATTGAGATGATCATGTGGTTTTTATTCCTCATTGTGTTAATGTGGGTCTATCACATTGATTGATTTGCAGATGTTGAACCATCCCTGTGTCCCTGGTATAAATCCGACTTGATCATGATGTATGATCCTTTTAATGTATTGCTGTATTTGGTTTGCCAATATTTTGTTGAGGATTTTTGCATCTATATTCATCAGTGATATTTGCCCGTAATTTTCTTTCTTTGTGTTGTCCTTGTCTGGCTTTGGTATCATGGTGGTGTTGGCCTCATAGAATGTGTTAGGAAGTGTGCTGTCTTCCTCAATTTTTTGGAATAGTTTGAGAAGGATAGGTATTAAATCTTCTTTGAATGTTTGGTAGAATTCTCCAGAGAAGCAATCTGTTGCTGGACTTTCATTTATTGGAAGGTTTTTGATTACTGTTTCAATCTCTTTACTTGTGATTAGTCTATTTAGATTCTCTCTTTCTTCTTGATTCAGTTTTGGGAGGTTGTATGAGTCTAAGAATTTATCCATTTCTTCTAGATTGTCCAATTTTTTGGCATATAGTTTTCATGGTATTCTTATAATCCTTTGTATTTATGTAGTATTCATTGTAATTTCTCTTCTTTCATTTCAAATTTTATTTATTTGAGGCTTCTCTCTTTTTTCCTTTGTGAGTCTGGCTAAGGGTTTGTCAATTTTGTTTATCTTCTCAAAGAACCAGCTCTTTGTTTCATTGATCCTTTCTACTGTTTTTTTTGTTTGTTTGTTTTAATTTCATTTATTTCTGCTCCAATTTTTATTATTTCTCTCCTTCTGCTGACTTTGGGCTTTGTTTGTCCTTCTTTTTCTAATTCTCTTAGGTGTAATTTAAGATTGCTTATTTGAGATTTTTCTTGTTAAGGTGGTCTTGTATTGCTATGAATTTTAGGGCCGCTTTAGCTGCATCCCATATGAATTAGTGTGGTGTGTTTTCATTTTGTCTCCAGATATTTTTTGATTTCTCCTTTAATTTCTTCAGTGACACATTGGTTGCTCAGTAGCATGTTGTTTAGTCTCCACATCTTTGTCCCTTTCCCAGCTTTTTTCTTGTAGTTGATTTCTAGTTTCATAACATTGTGGTCAGAAAAGATGCTTCATATGATTTCAATCTTAAATTTATTGAGGCTTGCCTTATTTCCCAACATATGGTCAATCTTGAGAATGTTCTATGTGCACTTGAGAATGTGAATTCTGCTGTTTTTGGATGGAGTGTTCTTTATATGTCTATAAAGCCTATCTGGTCTAGTTTTTCCTTTAAGTCCACTATTACCTTGTTGACTTTGTCTGGATATCTATTCATTGATCTAAGTGGGGTGTTGGGATCCCCTACTATTATTGTGTTGTTAATATCTCCTTCTACATTTGTTAATAATTGCTTTATGTACTTTGGTGCTCCTGTGTTGGGTGCATATATATATGTGTGTTATGTCTTCTTGGTGGAGTGTCCTTTTTATCATTATATACTGCCCCTCCTTGTCTCTCATTACCTCTTTTATCCTGATGTCCATTTGTTTTATGGAAGTATGGCAACACTTGCTTTCTTTTGTTTGCCATTAGCTTGGAGTATTGTCTTCCATCCCTTCACTCTGAGTCGTGTTTCATATTTTTTATACCATATCTACTAAAGCAAGCTCTTGGGAAAATATTGATTTAGGCATCACACACTGAGGCAAACTTTGTCTGCAATCCTTGCTGTTTCGACTTTGCTGCCAAAGGTTATTTCATAGAAACAAATCTTATTTTCATGTGGATTTCTTCAGGCCCATCCAATATTTGTATCTTTAGGTAGAAGCAGGAGTGTTGAGTTGACTGACCAAAGACAATAATTTTGTTTTCTTTCATGTGCTAACTCCTCCAGAAGGAACAACAAAGGCCTGAAGAAAGGGCCCATCAGTGACATCATGATCAGCAGCTGAGCTGCCCTCTGTGCTAGGAGCTGCCAATCTGACCTCTTGTCCTCTGTCCCACAGTTCCCCCTGCAGTGGTTTGGAGTCCCTGCCATCCTGAAAGGCTGGTTTGATCGAGTGCTTGTAGGGGAGTTTGCCTACTCATTTGCTGCCCTGTACGAGAAGGGGCCTTTCCAGGTAGGTAGACGGTTCTGCTTTTTCTAACAGCTGAACTTTGGGTAGATTCTGTCCTGAGGCAGAGTTTTGAGGACAATTAGATCCTAAGATCAGGCTCCAGGTCCCTTTGTGAGAGATGCTTACTAAAGGTTTTATAGATATTTTGACATGATGTTTAGGATTTGCTTTAAAATACTCCAGGAAAAATAGGGGCGAGGGAATTAGATAAAACTCACATGGCAAAATACTGAGAGTTAAAGCTGATGGATGCATCATACTATTTTCTCTTCTTTGTGTAAGTTTGAAATTTTCCATAATAAAAATTAAAAAAGAAAGTCTGTCTTTGTTTTTCAGAGACCCAAGTACCACACAAGATACATCTTTTTTTTTGGTGAGGAAGATTGTCATTGAGTTAACATCTGTGCCAATCTTCCTCTATTTTGAATGTGGGATGCTGCCATAGCATGGCTTGATGAGCAGTGTATGGGTCTGTGCCTGAGATCTGAACCCACGAACCTTGGGCTGCTGAAGCAGTGTGTGCAAACTTAACCACTACGCCACTAGGCTGTCCCCACAAGAAATATTTTGATACCTTCTAGATGACATGCCTAGATACATGCCTAGCACTGTGGGAGACAGATAAAAACAAGAAACAAATTACTCCACCTAGGCACCAGCAGTCAACACTGATTTTGCATTTCCATGATAACCTTCACTGGATTTGCTACACCCAGGAACACGGAATCCTGGGCTTGTCCCTGGCTACCTGTCTGGGGATCATCTTCCAGGCTGGTACTTCTGCAGTCATCTGGCATGGCTCAGAGCAGCCAGTGTATTCAGTTAAATAAAAACAGATAGGGTGGACTTGTGTGTTCTTTTCTCTGGGGCTGTTCATTAACTTCCTGTTACCAAGGAGATGTGGAAGATAATGACTTTTCTTTTACAGAACAAGAAGGCAGTCCTTTCCATCACCACTGGGGGCAGCGGCCCCATGTACTCCCCCCAGGGTATCCATGGGGACATTAATATACTTCTCTGGCCAATTCAGGTACCACGTTTTCACTGAACCTACAGGGGGATTAAGTGAGCTTTCTATGGGGTCCAAATCCTCAGCTGAAAACAGACCTGAGGTGTAGGATGAAAGCATTGTAATGATTCAGAACCCTAGGGAGCTTCCTTTAAGACTTACCTTTCTTCCCAGGCCCCTATGCTTATAGAAAAGCTCATGTGTGCACAGGTCTAAACACCACTCTCTCCTAACCAAGGCCTAGTGCAGATGACCCCTGGATTTGTATCGCCACAGGCTCTGATTCTCTCCAGATGACCGACATCTTTCTCCAGGCTTCCTGTCCTTCTCCAGCTTGCTGCTACAGTCTCATAGACTATAGAGCCCAAGAAAATTTAAGAAATGCTTCACTCCAGCTAATAAAACTGAGGTCTGAAGTAGGCTTTTGGTGGTCACCAAACTCAAGATGATCTCTTCTAAGGAAGAGGGTTGGAAAGAAGAGCAAATGAGGTGGCCACCTGTAATACTGAAGAATTAATATTAACATTGGAGAATAAGTGATAATCATTTAAGACTCGTCTAGTTCTATGGAGAGGCCGAGAAAAGCACATCTGCATACCTCGGCAAGAGTCAGCTGCCAAGAAGCTGAAACTCTCCCTCGTGTAGTGGCACTTCCGGCACTTTTGGCAGAGGATCCCAGGCTGGCACAGCTTCAAGGTCTCATTCATTTAAAGAAGATTACAGCTGAATAAGCTAGAAGAGGTAACAGCCAGGTATAGAGAGCAGAGAAGGTCTATAACTATGAACTGACTCTCCAGGGTGCCTCAGGCTCCACACTGGAGTGTGTTATTGGGATTAACCTCTGTTGTTTGTATATGGTACACGCTGTATAGGGTTTGTTCTGACTCACCTCTGTGCTTTGTGTATCCCCAGAGTGGCACTCTGCATTTCTGTGGCTTCCAAGTCTTAGAACCTCAACTGACATATAGCGTTCTGTACCTTCCCAAGGATACCCGAATTCAGATCCTGGAAGGATGGAAGAAACGCCTGGAGAATATTTGGAATGAGACTCCACTGTATTTTTCTCCAAGTAGCCTCTTTGACCTAGACTTCCAGGCAGGATTCTTATTGAAAAAGGAGGTGCAGGAGAAGCAGAAAAACTCGAAATTTGGCCTTTCTGTGGGCCATCACTTGGGCAAGTCCATCCCAACTGACGACCAGATCAAAGCCAGAAAATAAAATTCACAGGGCTTGATTTCTTTCTAAAATGTAGCCAGATCTATGTTTCTTCTTCAGGCCTCCTTGACTTGCTTTAGTTTTTAAGATTTGTGTTCTTTTTCCACAAGGAATGAATTGAGAGAATAGGCTATAATCATACATTTTTGGATAGTTTTATTTGACGTAATTGATTGTTATGGTTGTTATTGTGGCAAAATCTGCTTAGGCTCAAGAGGCCACTTAGGACTTAAGGTCCTGTACGCAATTTAATTCCTCTTTTTAAGGATAAATTTTTAGAGCTAAATCTGGCTGGACAGCATCCAATTCTTCAATGCTCTATTTTTCTGTTAATTACCTCTGTGGTTTATGGCAGAAGGGACTTGCCCAGAGAAAGAAATGACTGAATCTGACCTAAGGGACTTGTTTAGTAGTTAGTAGTCTATGCTTGTTTATGGTATGTATTTGTTGTAATGGCTACACAGTGACTAATATGCCTGACATGAGTGGTACTCTTCCTTCAACTTTTGTTGTTTGTATACAGTACACGCACATACCTTGAAATGACAAGCCTAATAAAGGTCTCTTCTTTACCTCAATCTTCTAATTTAATGTCTGCAGAAATAAACCTACATATCTGTATACTATATCTGTTACAGTGAGTGAATTCAAGAAAGGAAACAGTACCCCCAATACTTAAAATCAGCCTTCCACAAACAGTACTATATTCTACCTATATAACCATCTGGAAAGGTTTTTTTCTGTATCATTGCTACACTGACAACTTTTAAGGATGTGTTTTGGTCCCACGACTTTTGGGATAAAATTGTAAGCTTAGAGTTTTATTAACTTTGGTCAACAATTTTTGCAGACTGATCTAACTTCCCATTTAATTTGTTGAAGTGCTCCTCTACCCACTGCTGGTATAATTCATCAAGTATGATGAAAGACTGCCCTCTTGTGTGCACAGGGAGGAAACGAGAAATGACGCAAGCAAGGTTCCCTGAACTGGGAACAGCATTGCACCTACCTGCGGACATGCAGGCCGGAGAACCTCATTTGCCAGATGTCAAATGGCACTGGGTGTTTCTTCGCTCTACAGTATCCACAATGGCAGATGGCTGGGTGCTTCCATCAGAAAATATTTTCTGTTGCCTTCATCCTCACTACAATTTTGAGTAAATTTCTAAAAGTTCCAAATCAACTAAAATCCATTTCTGCAAAAAAGACCCACACTTGTGGCATCAGCGAAGCTAGTGATGGAGGCATTCAGGCAAAAGTGGCATCTACTAGGGAAGATTAGGATCAGAGGATTCAGTAATAAATTAAGGCCAGAAGCCTATAAGGTGACTTGGCTTGAGAGCTTGCCCAACAGGGCCGCTTCATACTGAATGGTAATGGAACGACCTATTAGGATCCTCTCAGGGAATTTAAAAGACATTTACAGAAAGGCAGGAAAGAGAGTAGTGTAGAAATCAATAAAAACAATGCAGTGAAGAAATGCCAAGGGGCAGTATTTATTTTGATTTATCTGATTTATCCAATCAATGGGCCACTCTTCTAGGCACTGGGAATACACTAAGGAACAAACAGTGCCTGCCCTTATGGAGTTTGTAATTCTAGTGAATAACAGATGAACAAATGTCAGGGGGTGATAAATGCTAGGAGGGAAAAAACAGAGAGGGCTACAGGAGTTTGGTTTGACACAGGGTGGTCAAGAAAGACCTCTCCAGTAACGCTACTTTTGAGCCAAGACCCGATAGAGAGTGAGACATGTAGATATCTGAAGGAAGAGCCGTGCAGGCAGGAGTGATGAGTGCAAACCGCTGTGGAAGGAGCATGTTTAGTAAGTTTGAGGAAGAGAAAGGAAGTTTCTGTGACTAAAGCAGAGAAAGGAAGAGGCAGATAGGTCAGAGGTACAGCTGGAATCAGATCACAAAGAACGTTATAAACACTGTAAGAATGTAAGCTGGGAAGTCACTGGAGGGTTCTGAACAGAGGTGTACCAATCTGACATGTTTAACTCTGGCTGGTATGTGAGAAATCAAGTATAAAGGACAATGATGGAAGCAGGGAGAATCGTTGGGAAACTTGTGACAATCTAGGGAACAAATGCTTTGGGGCAGCAATAGATATGTTGAGAAGTGGTGGGATTCTGAGTATATTTCAAAGATAGAGTAACAGGATTTGATGATGGATTGGACCTAGGTCAGATAAGAAAGCTCAGAGGTATTTTGGCTTAAGCAATTGGAAGAATGGAGATTCTATTTGCTAAGGTAAGGAAGAATCTGGTGGAGTGTGTGGTGGGAAGGGTGGAGTCAAAATCTGACCGCAGACATGTTATGTTTGAGCCTGTCTATTAAGAAAGCATAGTTAAGCTGTCAGGCAGTTGGATAACAGGAACCTGGAGTTAAGGGAGAAGTTTTGGCTGGAGATGCACATTTGGGAATCTTCTTAGGAGTTGAGATCAATAAGAGATGGCTTAGGAATTGAGTAAAGCAGAGAAGACAGCTGATGATTGACTTCTAGGGCTCTCCAGTGTTAGGAGGTCAAGGAGATGAGAATGAAAGAGTGGCCAGTGAAGCAGGAGAGCCGAGTGCAGTGTCCCAAAAGCCAAGTGAAGAAAGTGTTTCGAGGAGGGAGGGATCCAGTGTGTTGATACTGTTAAGCAAGTAAGACAGGCTTGAGAACTGACCTTTGGATATTCCCACGGGAGGTTATTAGTGATTTTGACACAAGCTATTTCAGTAGAGTGGTGTGATGAAAGCCTGAATGGAATGGATTCAAGACAGAATGGAGGGAGAGAAAGTGGAAATAGTGTGTAGGGGAATGTGTGGTCAGAGAAAGTTATTTATCTGATTTTTTAAGAGATAAATTACATTGTAGCAATATATAAGCCAGTGGGAACAACTCTCATAGTGAAAAGATTTTTGATGCTGGAGAAAGAGGACCTATTAAAGGAACATGTCTTTGAAAAAGCAAAAAGATATGGGATCCAGTGCACAAGAGACAGAAGAGCAGACTAGTATCAGGACTAGTAATGCTAATACAAAGTAACTCTTATTAGGCACTTCCTGTGTGCCAGGAACTAAGTAATTTTGCATGGGTTAATTTACTTAATTCTCGCAACAACCTTAAGAGGAGGGTTCTATGTTTGTTTCCACTCTATAGATAAGGACATTGAGGAATGGAGAGGTTAAATAGTGGGTGGGGGAGCCAGAACTCCCCCAAGCAGGAAAACTCAAGAGTTTATGCTTTTAAATCCTGTATTATATTGCCTCCTTAGAAGCATGGACGATGGCACCATGAAATAGAGCACAAGAGCAGCAATCAATACCTCTGTGTGAGAGCAAGATCATGAAGTGTTGCTCTTGAGAAACTGCAGTTGCTTTTATACTTCTGGAGTCCCTGTTGTGTCCCAAGCAGGGATAAATGAGGTTACAGTTGTGTTACAGGCCTGATTAAATGGCTGCTGAGAATTTGTTTTCTCCTTACAAGATGACAGTGCTCTTACTAGCTTGGAGCAAAGCAGGACAACTACCTCCCTTGTCCTGGACACTGTAACTTAAATTACGTAACCCAGGACTGCATCAGCTTTTCTGACAGCCACTTATAGTCCCATCTTCAGATCAGTCTTTTGCCCACATATGCTGTTTTTTAGACCAAAGTCTTTTTGATGTTTATACTTACTAAATTGCGTTGGGTTATTACTCTTTTCCAGCCCTGTTGAAGTCAATACATGCCAAAAGACAACTTTTAAACATACTTAGAACAATGGCAGCATTGTTGAAATATATATGTGGCCTCCTAAAGTGACAATTCATTTAGATGTATACATTTGGATATGATAAAAATTCAGTCACTTTCATAGAATCAACAGACACCATCTTTGATAAGAAGGCATAAGCATAGTGGCTAAAGCAGTGCTTCTCAAGCTTCAGTTATTTCTATGTCATACTCATCATATCCATGTATCATCTGTATTAGTAATTATTTAATATTTATGTTTCATTTGACTCCTATTTCCCCACAGTCCAGTAAGTGGACACATCATATCTTTTTCTAATGCACATGTTTTGAGTACCACTAGTGATATGTTTTTTGTACCACATATTCTGGTAAAAATAAATTTATATACGTGGCAATAACTGCCAGAACAGGAAGAGATTGCCTCGCAATGTGGGACTGAGGGCTGGGGAGGCCTGGTCTTCATCAAAAGCACCACCATGCTGCATGATTTGCTACTATGTGTATGTACTGTCTTACTAAACATGAAACATTTAAACTAAGCAAAACAAACAAAATTCTGTCACGCTAAGTGACTCTGTAGTCTGCCTGGCAAAATGGTAGGCATAAAGTTACTACTCAAAAATATTCCTATATTTCATAACTTTTCCTAATGGTCTTATAATTTCAGCCACATACTTATGCTGCTCAGAAGTGACATTCATGTATACAAATTCATCCACAAAGTTTGAGAGAAAAAAGACAGTTACCCACCGCAAAATGAAAACTTTCATTGTTTTATTTTTGACTGCAGCTGTTTACAGAAATATAGTTGCGAGTATACAAATGTTCCAATAGAAGCAAAATATCTTTTTAATATTTAACAAGTTATCACAGATAGCTAAAAACATAGATGCAAATGAAATTCCCCCAGAGAACAAACTGAAAACATCTGGTGTCAGTGCTCTGAAATCCCAACTAGGAAAGCCTTATGCACAAAAATGTAACCCTTATGTCACTGCAGGACAATGGAAGAAGGCAGTTCAGTGGTTGATCAGTGTGCTCAAGCAAACAAAATTAAATTAAAAAATTTCAATGGCAGAATGGTAGCTAAACCACTTGAGAATAGGTTAATGAAATATTTGTAGTATATGTATTAAAAGACTAAGTAAAAGAAGTGAACGAAACTCAGTAAAAGCTGTGAAAAGGAGCAGGAACTATTTGGAGCTTATCAATTAGAAGGAAGGGAACAAGGTGAGCAGATACATTCATTAGATCAAAAGAACTCAGTTCAATGCCATTGGAATCAGTTTGTAGCTACTGGATCCATAAACACTTCAGTGCAGGACAGTTCTTTCTTGGGCACATTATTCTGATTCCAAACTCACTCTCAAACATCTGAGATGGTGTGTGTGTGGCTGTGTGTGTGGCTGTGTGTGTGTGTGTATGTATTTTGTCCTGAGGTTCATTAGCTAAAATAATATTAATGAGCAATCCTTACAAACTATCTCAAATTACTTCTGCGAAAAAAAAAGCAGGGATGATATGGGTAAACACGGGGCTTTTAAAGGAAATATTACAAGTTGGAGTCGAATAGAATTGTGGTAGAATGCTTTGGGAACAGAAATATATTATGCCATACAGTGGGGAAGAGGGGAAAGGGAACAAGAAAGGAGGAATGTAGCTAGAACATCTCCCAACAGTTTGCCTGTGTATTTGCCAGCACCAAAGTTTGTAGAGTAAGCCACTTACCTTCCACCGCTAGTCTTAAGTAAAGACAGTAGTGGCAATTTTTATAAAGTGAGTATACAATGATTTTTATTTTGAAATGTTCATTTTTCTTTCATGAGTTATTTAATCGGTAATGAGTAAACAGTGGGAGGAAGATGAGAACAATTATGGAGGTATTGTATTACACAGGAAGATTAAAATGCATAAATAAATCTACTTCTGTTGTGGTTAGTTTATATTTACCATGATGCATACAATTGAGAAGGGAGAAATGCCCAAATTATATGATGCATTGTCTTGTTTGATACTTATTTTAGTAAGTAACTCCTGTCTGAAGAATAAGTTCCAAGCATAGCTATATCTCTACTGCATCAGTTCTCATACAAAGCAAGCTACTTTTAAAGAAGTTTTAAGTATTAAAAAAAGAAATTAAATAAGGTGCTTTGTTGACCTGGCCAGCCATCTTGTTTAATATCTCAGATACAAATGTAAATACAAGGAATGATAAATAATTTTGTTCTGAGAGTTGGTCTAGCCAGACCAAAACGGTGGTCTGCTGGTAAAGGAAGAGGCAATGAAAAGAGAGCTTGTATTATCACTGCCCACAACATACCCATTTTATGGATAAACAGGAGACTTTAGCACCCGTCAATTATGGTAGCTACTTAAATGTCATGATAATTAAAAGAAATATAAAACATTGCACCTATATATTTAAATCAGTCATGCAATGTAAACTTTTTAGTAAGTGGTAGGAAAATGCCAAACTAAGTTTACTGAATTATCAATAACTAGACTAACTGTATATGTACATAAAATATACTGTACTTCTATAGGCAGCACTGAGAATAAATTATCATTGCCAATAAATGATTATGGATAACCAGGTTAAGCTGAATTTACGTAAAGAACAATGTATAACTGTGTCTGTATGAGTGAAAAAAACCTTTCTAGACCTTACTGTATATAGTTTACACCAGAGGTTCTCACACTTTAGCATGCATCAGAATCACCTGGAGGGGCTGTTAAAACAGATTGCTGGGCCCCACTGCAGAGTTTCTGATTCAGTATGTCTAGGCTAGGGCCCCCAAATTTGCATTTCTAAATAGTTTCCAGGTGATACTGATGTTGGCTGGTGAGCTGAGGACTATGCTTTAAGAACCACTGGTTTATAGATCCTATATATGTAGAAAACTATATACTATAATATTCTTATGTACATGACACAAAATATATAGGAAGAGGGCTGGTTTTAATTAACTAACATACAGATTAGCAAGGTGAACTAAATATTTTAATGCTTCTAAAATGATTTGCTGAAGTGTAATCATTTCCCCTTATAGTCAATTACATTGAAGCCTTAAGTCCTACTATACAGTCCTTTTAGAAAATATTCTCATAACACTTATACCAAGCTGGCTATTGAAAATAAAAAGGGATGTAAATATTCTAAATAGTTAGGATTATTCATTAAGAAGGAATCATCACTATACAGCATTCTTGCTTCTTTGGAATGATTAAAGTGCATAATATCAATGGGGTATTGAGAGTATTGCATAAAGGTTTGCAGTCTTCAGTGCTGCTACCAGTCATGGAAATGCTCATGTGGGGAAAGCAGCTCTATCTCAAAGCTCCTACTATCCTGACCTGTTGCTCATGGCCCTTTCTTCAGGCCACATCACTGTGGTAAGAAGCTGGAACATAGGCAAAATTAACAAATACCAGAGGGACACTCAATTCAACTGTATCTGGTTAAAAGAACTATTAACTAAGATAACTTAGTTCTGGAGGGATTTAGACATAACTTTTTCATTTCCTTTGATACAATTTTTCATAGGCAGATTGCTGAAGTTCAGATGGGCAAGAAGGGCACTATAATGAATTACTTGGCCCTGTCCAGTTAGAAAAATTGACATTACCAGGGTTTTCCTAAACTATGCATTAGAGATTTATTTTCACCATCTAATTAAGATCATAGAAGATAATTTAAACACTTCTTTCCTGAAATTTAACTAAACACATTTGTGTGCATGAAGTCCCACAGGTAGTAAAATTTTCATTAGCATTCAGATAAGACTATTGTTGGTTGGTTGAGATGAAGACAAATTCAGTTAATTTATATAAACCCTAAACTACTAATTCTGTGATCTTTTACTTACTCTCCCTCAAAGGAACAATTCTAGTAATGCATCTTTTCTCTTATTCTTATGCCAAAGGGAGTTAGAAACATAAAGTTTTCTATGGTGATCGAGAAATGGAGAAAAGAATGACTAAATGGAAAAATTGAAAGTTGGGACCTAATAAAATAATTTGTTTATGTGTTTTTGGCAATAGTAAAAACTGAAATTACAAGAAAGGGGCACTATCATGGTAAAAAGGCACTTTTCCATAAGCATTTAATCTAGATATAAAATACTAAATTAAAATTTTTTCCTGAAAGAGAAAGTTGAGTAAAAACAATTTTATTAATAAATGAGTCTAGAATGGCATGAAAATAAATGGGGATTTATGAAGTAATTAGATCACTGGACAATTCACAAACGATACTATAGGTACTGTTTTGATATTTACTACATTATGAATATTATCTCCATGTTTAGCTCTAGTGACACACAGAAGCAGAGAAGAAAACCCCTTTTTAACATGTTATAAGATTCTACTCGCCCACTTACTAGGGTGGATACTCTGGGTTATTTTTTTAATAAAGCTGCTGAACTCTACAGTTTCTCTTTCATTAAGGCCCACCATATAGCCAAAGGCATGCAGATATAACATGGCTGTCTCGGTTAGGGAGGAAGCCTGTGATCATGAAGCAGAGTAAAGCTAATAGGTCTCATATAATTTTCAGTTAATTAGAAGAAAAATCAACTAGGAAACAAAGATTAGGACAGAAATTTTCACCAGAAAGATGAAAAGTTCTCAAATTACTCCTAGAGAATATATTTACAAACCATGTTGAATTAGAGATTTTCATTATTAAAGCATTTAATTCTGGTCTTTAACGGTTGATATGTCTAAACAGATATCACTCTTCCAAAACATGTGTCTACAACAGCTTAAATGGTCAAAAGGACTTAGTATCGTAGTTCTTAGTTCTAGAGGGATTCAGACATAACTTCTTTCTCATTTTCTTTGACACTATTTTTCCTAGGCAGATTAACTGAGGTTCTGATGGGCAACAAATGCACTACACTGAAATTCCCAACTACACCATATACAATATTACAAAAGAAGGAAGGAAGGACAGAAGGCTGGTCCCTCATTAATACTGCTTCTATAATAAACTAAGCCCTTTCAAAACCTGTTCTAGAAAAACAAAACAAAACAAAACAAAAATCCTGTTCTAGGGAGATTGGTGAAAACAGATTTGTATTGGCTAAAGAACAACATGATACTCTAATTACAAAGGTAACATGATAAAGCTCAGAAGCAAAATACGACTTATAATTATCTTCTCCCATGTTGGTGTGGATATATAATGGAATGACAATAAGGAATAAAACACACATACACACACACTCACACAGACACAGAGATAAGCTCCAAGCATTAATGTGAACTGCTAAAAGCAAGAACAATTGAAGGTAATGATATGAAGGAATAAAATGTGGTTCATAGTTTATTTACGTCATTCTGCCATATATAAATTTAATAAATTGTTGTTTCCAAGGCCTTTGCTGGCTCACAGATTCTCTGCTATAGGTACCTATAACTTATAACAGCAATCTGGAAAACCACATTATCAGCACAAGTATCAACCACTGACCATTGAGCTAACTCTTCAATAAGAAGATAAATACTTTTTGTAACCAAATGGTATATTCAGAATGCTGTACTTAACATTGACCTTTAGGGGTAAGGAGCATTTAACAATGTTAAAAAAACAAAATCGATCATTATTTAATAAGAATATAGTAGCATAGCACAGCCCTTGTATAAATAACCACAAAATTTTTGAAAATAAAAATTGGGTTTTCTGCCTCCATCCAATCAAACCACTACAGTTCAGGTGTATGTTCTGTTCTAAACTTAGATATTATAAAACAGAAAATTGGTCCCTGGTGACTTGGCATTGGCAATCAGCATTTAAAAAACGATAAACCTCTTGCTACATAACAGAACAGAAGCCAGCACACAAGCCAGTCTTCTTGCCCCCGCTTCATCCGTGGAGCAGCGTTAACAAACATTCTAATTGGAACTTGGTCAACAAATAGACTTCCTGAGTCTTCTGTAGAATCTCTGAGAAAAAAATTCAGAAAACTCAGAAATAAACTTCAGCATTTTATTTCTACTTCTTATTTTTATAGCTGCTGGGCAAGCTTTCTGACATTAGTTTTGACCCTCTGTAGTTACAGTTTTGCATTTTAAAACTGAAGCACTGGATTGTGTGGATGGTCCTTCTCATAACCTGAACTATACTGGGTAATTTCTCCTGATAGGGGTTGGGAGAGAAGAGAGATACTGAGAAAAATGCTTTTGGTTCAGAGAATTTATAAAGTAGCTCTGGATATTACAAGATGGGGAAAACATTATTAAAATTACAAACATGGTTTTTTTTTTAGTGTCTTTATAAATAAAAGGCATAGAATACAGAAAGCCAATTAATAATAACAACAATAATAAAATATTAAATATATAGTGAGCAAAGACTGAATGGCTCATTCTTGTGAAACACCATTTGACACAACTGCCTAGATGGGTTTCCTTACTCTAACATTTTGCTGAGTGAAAGATCCAGCAAACACACAGTAAGCTGCCTTTAGCCCACTAATAACATCAAGGAACTGCCTGATGGAATGGCCACAGATGAACAGGTCATTTGTTTCAAAAGATGCTTAAATACTCATAAAGACATAACAACCCCCCCCTCACTGTTATCAGACGCCACGTTGTGGTAGAACATCAGACAAACTCACAAATTTACCACAAAAACGTGTGGCAAAAAAAAGAATAGTTTATATATATGTATATATATAAATTTCTATATTTATGCCAATGTACTCACTCAGTACAAATAGCAAAATAGTATACCATTTCCTAAATACAAAATATAGCTTTCCAAAAAAATGAAACACACATTAGATATAAACCATCCAAAACTTGAACGATTGAAAACTGTATTCAAAATTAAATGACCCAGAGTAGGTCTCTTTCTGAAAAGTTCCCTTCATATCGGCAAGAAGCCTGTACTACTGAAAACGTAATTCAATGCCTCTCAATCAGAGAGAGAAAGAAAGAAAGGGCTGGGGGTGGAGGGAAGAATATATGAGAACAAGAAGAAAAAACAAATTAGAAGAACACAAAGAATCAAGGAAGACCATCACGAAAAGGGGGAAAAATCTGGCTGTATAAACAAAACCAACACCACAATTCCACAAAGTTCAACTAAATACATACGATAGAAAAACAAAAGTAAAAGAACAAACAGAAAAGTAGCCTTCAACAACCATTAACAGGCTATTTTTTGTACACTTAAAAAATAAATGAAACGGACAAGAATACCAAAACATCTTATCTACATATAGAAGCCACACACAATTTGGCCTTAAACTGTATTAACAGCTTTCTACATGCCGAAAGGAAAAGAAGACATAAGCATGTGTCCAGACAACAGGTTGTAGTGAGAAGCAGGCATCCCATGGGTGGCAAGAACACCCAAAACTGTGTAACTAATGCTACAACTGCAAGTTCTGGAGTGTGTTATTTTGCTCTCTATAGATGTAACACAAGTTAATTCTTCATTTTAAGTCAATGATATGACCCTGTAAAGCCTAAGGCTTGTGGGAACCATCAGATAAGTGACCACTTCAAACTGTAAAGCACTGAGGTGACAAGTGAATTACACTCACTGCAGCTTAGAGAGAAGTGATGTTTCAAGAAATTTTACTTTGCCTTTTTTTAACTTAAAACTTATACTTTCTTATTAGAGGGAAAAATCTGAAGACTTCAGAACAGCACCGTTCACGGAAAAAAAATGCATTGCTTCTTGTTTCTCAGGAATCAGCTCCCCTCATTCCTGAAAGGGTGCCCCACCCCTCTGTTCCCACTTGTGCTGCAGGAGTTACTGGGTTACCCCAGATCAAAGTGGCCTTTTTATTTAAGTGGCTACAGGGTCACAAAGCTAGTAGTATATTACCAGTTGTCTAAAATAAAGTGAAAAGGAAGGGAAGAATAATATAGATGAATATAAAAAGGGAACATTGGCCCAAGATTGGGTTAAGAAGAAAACAGACTCAAATTACTGTCAGTTTAAACTATTGTAGGAGAACATCAGAACATAATTTGCCATATATTATCCCCCTCATTTTTTATAGAGCAAGATGATTATTTTTCTATGCACAGTTATGGCTAAACCCCTTAACAGAAATACAGAGAATTAACAACTCTCTAAAAAATAAAATCAATAGCATTCCAGCTGTTCCCAGTTTATAAGTGTGTTGTCTGCCTTTGTGATAAACAAAGAGGCCTCTTATCTGTGTAGAGCTCTTAATACAGCTTACTTGTCAAAACGCTATCCCCTTCAGTTTCTCCATAAAAACTGAAAAAAGATTTCCTTCACTTTGGCCAATAGCTGTGCTTTTTATGTTGAAAAATCACAGCCTTAGTTACTATTTGAACTTTCGTTTTTCAAAAGGCTAACTTGACTAGAACAATGTAGGAAAGAAAACAGTGAAGAACAAAAGTAAACATGATAATATGAATTATTTCTTAATAGCAATAATAACTGAGCAGTCCAGCTTTTGAATTTAAACTGAACTTTTAGAGAAACAGTGCCTAGGAAAATAGCAACAATTAATCCTGTCAGCTGGAAACTCAAATAGATTCTCAGTCATCACTGTTATTAGGAACATAAAATATGAAGATGTTAACAATGGTGGCTAATCACTGCAACAGGCAGGATAGGTGTGCTCTTTTGCAGTCAGAGTAAAATCTATCCATTTACTCAATCACAGTTTTTCATATTTTGTTTTGTTTTTAAAGTAACAGTTCAATAAATCCTCATGAAATCACAAGATCTCAGGACATCTTGGAATCAGGATTTTCTTCATGGAATTCTAAAAAAAAAAAGTTTAATATAACTCACTAGGGAGAGAAAGCATTAACAAAATTCCTGTCACCCTGAATGATCCCAAAGTATATTACAGTATTATAAATGTTACTTTATCATATTTATACTTCCACAGACTTTTCTGACTCAACATTTATTTCTTGAGGCAGGGAAAAATGAGATATAATTATATCCAATATATAGTACATTCATCAGACATTCTGTCATTCCAAGGCAAAGAAGCTTAGAGCCAGAAGGCATGCCCAGTATTAACAATATGACTATAAATTATCATTCAGAGTAGAAAAGTACCATCTTGTGAGAAAGCCACACTTTAAAAGATCAGAGTCTAAACAGTGTTATTACCTAACTCAAATCTGTTAAGAATAATAAAATTTACTGATGCTTTTCAATAAGAAACCAAAATGCAATACTTACACATCCAGTTAAAAGGAACCAGTCAAGTTGTTCCCTTGGTTTTGCAATGAAACAAGCAAATCCATCTTTTCAATGTTCTGGTTGGCGTTTATAGAGGTTGCCAGTGGAGAATTCTCTGGCATTTGCTGAGAAAGAAGTGTCGTCACAGGTGGCTGGCCCTCATTTTGTGGTTGGCCTGGCTGACTTATGGCCATCAATTGATCTGGCAATGTAGCTGGTCCAGAAGTTAAAAGCTGACTACAGTCTGCAGAGACATTTAAAATAGAGAAGCTACCTGATTAGTTACTTTCTGTTAAGAGTTGTAAAAAGATACTTATTAGTTGCTGGAGGAAATTCATTATTGTGTTCACTCAGTATAGAACTAAAAGTGAGGCACTTGACAGCCCCCCAAAAAGGTTTTCACCAAACAGTACTGGAATTCACCTTAGGTTTCCTCTAAGCAGTATAAAAATACAACTTTGCTTAGTTATCATCATAAGTCCTATATAATTTCCTTGATATATAAACATTAAAAATGGGTTTCTGCCTCCTTGGAAATTGCTTACTTTAATTGGCTGAGATATTTTCTGTCATTCTTACTTCATTTTCCTTTCAAGTTTATAGCTTAAAATGGTAAACACATACATTTACATACATCACCACATTTAATCCTCCCAATATCCTTGTCAAGTATGTAATATTACCACCACTTTAGATGTGGAAATTGAAGCTTATGTATGTCAAATAACTTGCCTAAGATCTCATAGTCTGTAAGTGGTAAAGCTGGGACTTGGACTGAGTTCTAACTATAATTTGTGCTCTTAAAACCACTGTGTTTTGTTTCCTTCTAATAATAATAATCATCTGACCATTTCAACCAATAACATTTAAGAAATGAGAAATTAGAAGGAGTTTCTTACTATTTTGAATGCCAAATAAGAACATTCCTGAAGTCTGTTGAGATGAGCCAGGAGAATTCTGTAATTGGTTCATTGTGCCTCCTGTAGTGTTGTGAAATAAAGTAGCCTGTGGTTGAGGTGAAGATGTGGCCCCTTGGATTCCTGGCATGTTGTTCTGAGGGGAATAAAGAGGAGACTGTTGCATGTCTTGTTGGTTTATACTGGTCTGCAATGCAGACATGGATGCTGGAGAGAGGAAGAGTGTTACTTGCTGTTCTTGAGAACTCGATGACCCTTGGACCAACTGAATCTGAGGAGAGCTATGGAACAAGGAGGTCTGTGATGATTCAGATTGGGTAGGACCTGGGTTCTGAAGTGAGGAAACTGTGGGCTGGTTCTGAAATTGCATGGGCTGCTGCTCTTGATTCATTGGGGTCATATTATTTTGTTGGTGAAAAATTGACTGGTTCTGTTGCTCCTGATTAGCCATTGGATTTTGACTTGGGTTGAATATCATATTTGGTGGTGGTTGCTTTTGAGATGCCATTGTAGCCATCGTATTCTGATTACTGAATAAAATGCTCTGCTGTTGTTGCTGCTGTTGCTGCTGCTGTTGCTGCTGCTGTTGCTGCTGCTCCTGGGATGGAGAGTTACTCTGGATGGCAACTATTGAGTGCTGTGACTGGAAAATTGCTCCTTGTTGGTTTTGAGGCATTGGATTAGGAGGAAGGGAGCCCAGGGACACCTGAGGCTGAAAAAGACCTTGCTGGGAGGGTTGTGCCTGTTCTTGGGAGAGCATAGGGGTCTGGATGTGTGATATTGGAGACTGTTGTTGGAATGCAGCTTGCTGTTCAGTATTTGATGTTGACTGAAGTGGAGAAATTGAGTTCTGAGCTGCAAAAAATGAAATCTGTTCTTCTTGGGCTACCGTGTTAGTTTGGAGATTATTCATTGGACTCTGGGAAAGAAATATGTTGGCTGACTGCTGGTCTTGAGGAACAGAAGAGCCCTGTAGCACAGCCATGGTACTTTGAGAGTGAAACATTGGAGGCTGCATTTGTTCAGAGGAAGTTGTAGAATTCTGACTGTGGACAATAGGACTTGGACTATGAAAAATAGAACCTTGAGTTTCCTGGGAAAGGTTCTGAGCATCAGCAATAGGATTTTGAGGATGAAAAAGCTGAGCTTGTGAATGAGAAGACTGCTGCAAAAAATTCCCAGATTGGAGTGACATCATCTCATTACTTTGCTGGAATAAACCATTACCTTGTTGTTGGCCACCAGTATTCTGAACACTCATCATACTCTTTGTAGAGGAAAAAAGGTTAACTTGAGGCTGATTGTCTCCACTATGTTGCATTTGGACCATGGTCTGAAAGACACTGTTCTGAATCTGTTTTGCTTGTACTCCAGTTTCTTCTCCGTCTCCTGAACTTGATGTCTGAAACATGGTAGTGCCAGGGGTTGCAACCTGCTGTGTGGTGGTTGTAGCAGTTTCATTTCCAGAAACTGCAGGAGGAGAAGAAAACAATTCACATTGCATTTGCATATCCTCATTGGTAGATAATGCACTCATCATATGAGAAGTCTGCTGGTAAACTGGAGATTGCTGAAGGTTTCCATTTGCTGAAGCAGTTGAAGGAAATAACTCTGACTGAATCTGGGCAGCTGCCTGGCAGATACTCTGTTGCATCTCCATCACCATTGCAGCTGATGATTCCATCACTTGCTGTTGCTGCTGTTGTTGTTGCTGATTAGATAATGTGTTTTCGGTCTGTGGGTGAACACTTTCAGCTCTTCCAGCTATTAAATTATCTGGTCTGGTATGGACTGCTGGTTCTGTTGAGGAAAACATTCCAGGGCTTACGCTATTTTGAATTTGACTGACTTGTTGAAAAATGTCTGCACTAAGCTGTTCCTGAACATTGTCATTACCATCTGGAGCAGAAAATAAAACTGAAGATAACTGTTGTTGTGCCTCTAAAACTTGTTGGACCAAGTCAACATTTCCACTGCTGCCACTAGCAGTACTGCCTGTAAAACTTCCTGCTTGCAACTGCTGAATCGTACTCTGCAGTTGACTCACACTATTTGCTGATGGGAAAATATTTGATGAGATCTGCTGCTGTAGAGTCTGTGCTTGTTCTTGTAGTGGTGACTGCTGCTGTTGCTGCGATGCCTCAGTCAGGTGTGACAAATTAACCACTGTACCATCTGACTGTAATACCTCTCTAGATTGCGCTTCTCTTGTCTGAAACTGTGTAGCCTGCTGCAGTAGTGCATCACTGCTGGGCAGCTGACTAGAAGCAGACACTGCTGGAAAGGTACCAGGTTGTGAAATGTCCTGTGTTTGGATAGTCGTCAGGGTCTCTGGATTGTATGCCTTGGGCTGAATCTGCTGCTGCTTTTCATTTTCAGAAGGTAAGTGGGAAGATGATGACGATGATGAAAAAGACCCATTTCCTGCTATGTTAGAGATATTTTCTAATGTTGGTTGAGTTGATCCAACTGTCTTTGTAGTCTAAAAAATAAAAATTCCCAAATAATATGTACATATAAAGATTAAATGAGCTCATATATTTATCCTCAAAAACTACTATTCTAAAAACATATACAGGACCAATTTTCCACTCTATATTATTATTTGGAAAACAGGTATAAGACTATGATTCTCAGTGATAACATGATGTCTGATTGTCACCAGGATATTTTTTTAATAAGCATTATGTTACTTTTTTTTTTTTTTAAGGACTGGCACCTGGGCTAACAACTGTTGCTAATCTTTTTTTTTTTTTCTGCTTTATCTCCCCAAAACCCCCCTGTACACAGTTGTATATCTTAGTTGCAGGTCGTTCTAGTTGTAGGACGTGGGACGCCGCCTCAACGTGGCCTGACGAGCGGTGCCATGTCTGCGTCCAGGATCCGAACCCTGGGCCGCCACAGCAGAGGGTGCGAACTTAACCACTCGGCCACAGAGCCGCCCCCTTAATAAGTATTATAAGCAAAGACAGTCAAATAAGGAAGTAGAAGAATCATTAGCTATTGATATGCTTAGGTCAGTAAGAACACATTAATCCTATGGTTGATGAATTAATAGCAAAGTAAAAAAAATCTCCATTTTGTGGATCATTAGTAACAGGGGAGAAATAGGGGATGTAGTTACGGGTAAAAACAGGGGGCATAGGGGGGAAAACAAGTCAAAAAGAGAAAGAGAGTTATAGGAAAAGACTGGGGAAAAGAAATAAAAATGTCTCATTCTGAAAATGCTAAACCAGTACTTTCATTAAGACCCCACATCCCACAGATCTAGCTAACATTAATTCCTCCCTCGTCAAAATGTATACTGAAAGTCACTTTCCAAGCTATTTTATTGGAGTATAAAAGCATTCACTCTGAAAGCAAAATTTAAGTGCATCCAAAGAGGAACAAACGTGAAGGAAAGAGGGGAAGTAAAAAGCATAAACATGGGGAAAAGAAATCAAACCACTCAAAATATAGCAATTTTTCTATTTGAGTTTAAGATGTGGTTCATTATCAATGTAGCTCACCTTAAAAATAGGAGAAGATCTTTTTTCTGCTGTTACTTCCATTGGAGTAACATCTTCACTCTTAATCATACTGCTGGATATGAGCGGAGTGATCAGAGCATTAGGAAGAATATTTACCTTATCTAAGTTACATCCAGTAGTCTTCATTGCTGCACAGACACACACAAAAGAAAGAAAAGTTTAAAATCATTAAAATCATCAACTATTTCATTCTTTAGTGTGTTGACTATTTGTCATGATTTAAATGTCTATTTTTTGATGTTATGATGGTAGCATGAGATACAAAACTGGTTGATCAAAATGTGCCCTCTCTTTTTTGGGGGCCGGCTCCATGGCCGAGTGGTTAAGTTCGTGTACTCTGCTTCGGTGGCCCAGGGTTTCGCCAGTTCAGATTCTGGGCGCGGACATGGCACCGCTCATCAAGCCATGCTGAGGTAGCGTCCCACATGCCACAACTAGAAGGACCCACAAAATATACAACTATGTACCGGGGGGCTTTGGGGAGAAAAAGGAAAAATAAAATCTTTAAAAAAAAAAGTGCCCTCTCATTTTGGAAGCAGCATGGCTCGAGGACTCCTGGTATGAGCCTGAGACTGGAGGTTAAATATCAACAAGCTTAAGCAGTTAGATTATTAAGCTATACTCCCCAGGACTCTTCCAGGGTGCCATGAATTACACTGCTCAACACGACTAGGATATATTACAGGAACAGCTTGGAAATCTCCAGGAAGTTAAGGCTATTCAATTACAACTGTTACATTCTCCTCTTAGCATATAGCTACCTAGCATGATAAAGTCAAAACTTTTTAAGAGCCATAGGATTGACTGAACATTTCTCTCCTCAACAAAACTCAAGCTTCTCATTAGAAAACACCACCAAGTAACCAAATAGATTTTGCTTTTCTAAATTAGTCTTCGAAAACTTAAATTTGCCAAGTTGACACATGAACACGTTTCTCTTTTAGATAGAACTTAAAAATTTTTCTTTTCAGAAATTTAAGGACTATTTTAAATTTACCAATTAAATTTCCAAAGGGAAATCAGCAAACGTTTTCCACTTCCATCTACTCCCGTTTTCAGGAGTAGTTATATAAGAGATTAGGTAGGTTCTACTACTTCATTCTATCTTCTTTTTCCCCTTGATTTCTTTTCTTTGTCTATTTGAGTCTGCCATTGGCACTTAGTGGAGCCTACTGATATCACTAATCATGGTCTTCTGAATTGAGCACATAGCCAAATTTTGATCTAAAAGTTTACCACTTCTTTGAGACTCTCTGGAGAGAAACATAGACTCCACAGAAGGCATAGCTGTTAAATTTCTTAATTTGATACTGAGAAGAAATCATGGATACAAAAAGGATTTTTAAGTGGTGCATGATATGAGTAGGATAGCTACCTTTGTAAATATTTTAATTTAAAAGAATTTGAAATTTTATGGTCTTACTTCAACTTGTCTCACAGCCAGCTGGCTAGAAACAGTGCCTGTGGAAATTGATTATATTGAGGGAGGGACAGTGCTTATTTAACTTTTGATATTCTATGCTTTATTACTCTGAGAAATGGATTATTTGCTCATGAATACTCTGGGCCTATTTTCACCTAGATTCTACCAATATCACTACAGTTCAACTCACAGTCCAATTTTGACTGAGACAAAACTTCAGATCATGCACAGGGCAGGCATTTGAAAGTATTCTAGGCCTGTCTCACAGGACAATTTGAAAGGCCATTAGTGTTGCTTTAAGTTAATCCTATAATATCCAACTGCTATTCTTGCTTTTGAATTCTATTAGAATACGAGCTCCATGAAGGCAGAGATTTTGTTGTCGTTGCCTGATGCATAGCAGGTAATCAATAAATATTTGTTGAATGAATGAAGAAATGAATGAATTAATCTTACTTTACCTTTATCATAGTCAATTTAGTTTGTTGTAGATTGTTTGGTTAATCTTATAGTGAGTGCAGTGCCACATATTTTCATTAACAGTATTTCTGGTCTAAAATTTTTCAATATCTAAAGACAAGTTTATATTACAGTTCAATTAGAAACTGCATATAAATATCCACTGACAAATAAATGTATCACCTACACAGTTACTGATTATCAGATCTATATACCATTTTCCCCCACATTTATTTAGAGAATAATTCTTATTATCATAGTTTTTTTCCCTTCTGGAAAGTGAAAATAGGTGGAATAAGTTGAGTTAGAGTCTTTTACTCCTCCTAAGGAGACCACTGACAAATAGGTATGTCTACTGGTATAGACAAACAAGAGAAGGATATTTTGTCTAATGCCCACACAAAGATACAAATCTTCCTATAGCCATATGCACAAAGTCTTTCCATGGCCAATGACAATTTACTTTTCTGAGGCCTATTCTGGTCTGCTTGTTGTTCTAGTTCTGCATGAGCTTCAGCTGAAATCCTGCTGGTGTGGCCTACAGGAGTGGAAGGTGCTTCCCTGGGCTGCCTGGTGTCCATTAGGTGAGGGTGAAGGGTACTGCGCCTACAAGAGGGAAAATATTTCTCCTGGTATATTCTCTAGTCTTCTGGTACTAATGGGGTTTCCATTCTATCTCTGCTGGTACTGCTTGAGGTAGGGAAGCAGCTACGTGGGCTGCCTTCTGCCACCGGGTGGAGGTTTGGGAGACTCCGGGTCTGGTTCACCTTCTGCCACTGGACTGCCTTCTGTCACTGGGTGGAGGATTGGGAGATACTTGGTCTGGATCTTCCTCTGCTCTTAGGTGGAGAGCCAGGAGCTGCCAGGTCTGGGTCTCTCTCTGCTGTTGGGGGAAGGATAGGGAGACACAAGGCCTGCTGGCACCACCAGTGCAGGTGGAGGAGCCTGTGTGCTGCTGCCTGGTGTGGGGTATAGGGCATGGGTTGGCCCCCTGGGTTCTGCTGTTGCTGCTCCTACAGATAGACTGACCTGCTGTTGCTGGCATGTGTGAGGTCTGTGTTTTGGCCCTCCTGGGTCCCACTGTTGGCAGATTAGGCCCACTGCTATTTGGCAGGTGTGGGGCATAGGGTGAGTTGACTCTCTCAAGTCCTGCTGTTGTTACTGCGGGTGTGGGTGGGATATGGGTTGGTCCCCAAACTCGGCTAGTGGCTCAGCTGTTGTTACTAGGTACAAGTCATCCTACTAAATCTTTACTAGGCTTTCCCTTTCCTGGCCTTTTGGCCAAAGAGAGCAGATTTTCATGCTTATTTATTGATTTATTTTTTGTCTATGCCAGTTACCACTTTTAAGTTGCAGGCCTCTCTGATGCACACTTCAGAAAACGGGAGATAAAAAGAAAACCCAGGAAACTCATGATGTTGTTCTTGAAGTTCCGAGGTCCCTAGCCAGTCCACTTTCTTCTTTCTATATTTCAAAGTCCTCTTATGATTACTGAATTATTTCCAAGGTAGGTAGTAGATTTAGAAAGGAGGAACAGGGAAAAGTGAGTTTACACTGTCTTGTCCAAGCACCCACAACTGTATCTTAATGAACTTGTAAACAATATTACACGGATTAAGAGATGTTACCGTATCTTTTCTTCCTACATTTTCCCCATGTATTTACTGAGCCCTTACAAAGTTCTAGGCACTGTTCTAGGTTCTGGGGATCCAGTGATGAATAAGATGGATAAAGCCCTACTACCTGGAAATTACATTTTAGTAAACAAAGAAAAAAATACAAACAGGTAAAGACTATGTACTACCTAGGGGGTTGGGGGAGAGCTTTTAAGCCAATTCAGAAAATCCAAAAGGTAAATAAGATAGACATATTTAACCATCCCATTATCAATTTGAATTTGTGAAGAATATTGGTATTGATAGTTTATGCCAAACAACTTTTAAACACTGTTCTCTCCTATCTGTGCCAAATAATAACAACTTTTGAAACTTTACTATAGTTTGTTGTCAGCAAGCAGCATTTAGGTCAAGTACAAATATATTTGGTTAAAATATGAATTAAGATTTATAGGAGAGGAAATAATAAAGTCAAAAGAATATAGAGTTTTGGGCGAAATTTAAGTTGCAACCTCTGTCAGTTACTAGCTGTGTGACCTTGAGCAAATCACTTAACTTCTCTAAACCTTGTTTTGTTCATCTGTAAAACGAGATTGAACTAGATTTTCTCTATGGTTCCTCTAAGCTTCTAAACCTTTCCGCATAGCTGCAACCAGTTAGAGAAAAGTAATGCTCTCAACTAGTTTTCACACTCATCCAATTAACCACTCTGTATAAAGCTGAAACTGAGAGAATGCATATCAATACTTTAACCCTGCATCACAGAGTCTTTGAGCAACTAGAGTTTGCACTCACATCTACCTGAACCTATAGAAAACTTTCTATAAATATTCCCAAGAAACTATTAAGAATAGGTTACATTTTACACTTTATCTTATTTAATTTGCATTACTTTTGTGTTAGGATATATATACAATCGGCTAACACTGAAAAAAGAATCATGATGCGTTCGCACTGGACTTAGTATCTCATTGAGTAGTTGTGCAGTTCTCTTCCTTACTTCTCACCCTCCCAAACCCTCTCCAAGGAATTAGAAACTTAGTTCAGAGTGAAATCTTTCGCTATCTGGCCATAATATCGTATTTGGGTATCAAGTTCTAAATCTTATTGTAATTAATGGCTACTTATAAGAATGTTACTTGGAGGATTATTGCCATAACACAAATTTAAAAGTCATTTATGTTGCTCAGTCTTCATCATTGGAGTATACCAAATTAAATCTCCCAGATGGAATGCTGGTGTTATACTAAAGCTCTGATTTCAAGGAATCATAAAAATAAGCCATTTGTCAAGGAAAATTCATGGTTCTAAAAGCTATTGTTATGTTTAACTGATCAGGAATCTCCAATTAATGATACTGTATTTAAAATAACAAAAAAACTTTAACTGATCAGATAGTTTAGTATTCAATTTAATTTTATATCTTCACAAAATTATTTGTCCCATGATTTCAGTTGATAAAATTGTCAAAATAAGAAGGTCTGAACTGTGAAAAAGAATAATATGTGTGTTTGTTTCTTATCCATTTTTTTAGGCTTGTAAGATTCTGATCAAATGACTAAATCATTTCATTACTAAAAATTAAACACTGCATTTAAAACCCTTCAATCTTCAATTCATAATCTTCTATGAGAAGTTTCACACTAGATTATATTAGTATTCCACCAGCTCGATACTCTATGAAATGAGCATCAAGGAATTTTTGGAGAAAAACAAAGACGCTTCAAAGTTAGCAAAGGACAGACCACAAATGTCCCTGACTTTCTTTGATGATTAATTATGGTATTATTCATCTAATAAACATGGTTTGAATTATTTTGCTTAGATGTGTTACCTCACACAATGAAGCTCAATCTATCCTTTTTTAATCCTAGCTAAGTGACCTTGGGAAAATTATTTAAGCTCTCTGGAACCTTGGCTTTCTCATTTATGAAATAAGAATAATAAACACCTACTCCATAGAGTTTGGAAGATTAAATGAGATAATGCCAATAAAGAGTGTGGCATATTACCTAGCACTTAATATATGTTCAACAAACACTAGCTATGGTTATCCATAGCACAGATTTGTAAATTTTCCTGTAGTTGAATCAGATCATCTTAGCAGTTTACTTACTTGTGCATAATTCCTTATGAATTTACTCTGGAAAGTGTTCATGGTCAGAAATTATAATGGCAAGTTACATATGTGAATGCTGAATTTTACTACTGACAATAGAAAAAAATCTACTGTGTTAGATAAAATTTATTAAGTATTTTATGACCCTTAAAAAATATAAGTATTTTTAATTTTTAAATTTAATTTGATTTAACTCAGAAGAAAGAATGATAACTAAAGAACCTAAAGCAACTTTTTCAAGTTCCTATAGTTCATATTTTGGTCTCTTTAGTCTCAATGTCAAGTACTAATCTTATTGGTAGCAAGAAGCTTTATAGACTCTACTTTATATACATGATTGTACTTTATATATACTTTTAAGATTTTTAATATTGTGGAGTGAAAAACAAAATAAAACTCCTCCATTCTAATATATGTCACAGAAAAGTTGTTTATATGGTGAATGAAGGGAAATACTAAGTTGGGAAATAAGTTTCTGCCTTCAGTAAAGTTAAACAAATATTTACTTTACAATATTTAAGATACCCTGCTAAGTGTTCCAAGCACATAAGAGAAAACAAAAGAGTAAGGTTTGCTAGAGAAAATATATAGAATCACCTATTTACAATTTTTGAGAAGAATCAACTTAGTACCTTTCATGGCCTCTTCAAAAGAGCAAGGTCTCGCTGGACTAGATATTTCCTTCTTCACATTTACATTCAAAGCACTAGCTGCTGTTATTAAAAACAAACAAAAAAAGATTAATGTATTTATTTAAACTTACTCATCCTAACAAAATAAGGATCCTGAAATTCTTGAATTGTAACATTTTCTCACAAAGCATCATTAAATTATTTGTTCAGAAGAAATCCTAGGTTGAGATGAGTTTTTATAACCACCAGTCTATGCTCTAAAATTTACCAATCTCCAAGTAGGCAGAAGCATATGCTCACTTATCTAAACAAAACAAAAACAACAGCAAACTTTAAAAATAATCCTTCTGGTAACAGTACACACATTGATGATACCTGAGTAGAAGATTAATATGACTTTTTAAACTTATCAAATGTACTGTTAACACTAGCATGAAAAAAATTCACCATTCACTTACATAAATGACTTATTAAATACTGCTTCAGAAACATTAATTAATTCAGCTATATTAAAAAAACTGTAATGAACATACAGAATCTATAACATTATGATTATTCTTTCTGTAAAGCATTGGAAAAAGTAATCTTTGCTATTATTAATGGAGAATTGCTGGGGTGTAATATCTAGTCATAGCAATTATAGTCATGTACTGCATAACGTTTTTGTCAACAACCAATCAATGTATTGTATATGACAATAGTCCCATAAGATTAGTACTTTCTTTGCACAATGTCAAAATTGCCTAATGATATATTTCTGAGGACATATCCCTGTTGTTAAAAGTGATGTATGACTCTATATGTACTATGACAACTTTAAATTTAATGAGCCTAAGAATAGAGATCAGTTCTGAATAATAAAGTTAAATAAACTCCAAATAAACAGGTTCTTGCTTTAAATGACTATATAATTTTGTCTAAATAGATTTTAATTTCTATTTTGCAATATATTTATTCTACATTCCCTAACTTATTCAAAATGGGAAATGAGTCAGCTTATTTTCTATTTCTTATTCTTGACATGACAATATGAAATGATAGTGACAAAGAGACTATAAAGAGATAGTTAATTTTGAGTAAAGAGACAAAATGTACATACCTCCTAAGAATAAAGTTAAATGATTTATCTCAGCATGCTGCACAGGAGGTCCAACAAATGATATTTAGGGAATTGAATGGAAAAGGAATCCATGGATAATTTTTAAGCATAACATTAATTCTAACAAGTACAGATTTAAAAATAGAAACTAATCTTTGAAAACACTTTACATTTCTACTTTTAAATCAAGTTTTAGTCATTTGTTTTTAGAGCAACAAAAAAATACGAATAAGTATTATATCCCACATTTCTTACAGGAATCACTACAGAGTAACTGCAAAAAATACATAATGTGATTTTTGTGTCTTAGACTGAAGTAAAAAAACCCTAAAGGTGTTTTAATGGTTAAGCAAAGCTTCAGTGACTAAGTGGCAATGAAACAAAGGTTTTATGACTCTGCAAAGTATCTAAGTGCCTGAGAGCATGCACATGTGATGTATTCTTGGCAGCATAGACTCAGAGGGTGTTAGAGGGGCTTGTGTCTGGCAGAATGTGCAGAGCCAGTTTATGCTCACTTGAACTCTTGCCTGGATCCTAGTTTTAAGACCGTGTACCAAGTACCCAAGATCTCAAAGTTTCCTGCACAACTACTCCAGACTATGTGTGCAAATCTTAGGCCTACAGGGTGGACAGAGCTTGGAAGCACTGGTTGGTGCATCGAGGCCCTCCAGGTGTAGGATGGAGCCAGCAGCGGGAAAAGAAGGGTGGCAGGCTGGGCATCCTCTTTCCTCCTGTTGCCATATTCCAGCTTGGAATTCCAAGCAGTCTGAAAATCCTAAATTCAGATCTCGCCTTCCAGACTGTTATGAAGGTATCTTGGTCAAATCAAGAGGATAGGATACATTTTATTTAATGATTTTTTAAGTTTTATTTATAACTTTTAAATAGACAAATGATGTAACAGTTGTCATTTCTACTCTGACTTGAGAGTATTAGGGTGGGTCTAGTTTTAGGTGTTATAATCACAGACCATTGAATATTCAAATATTTAATCAGTCTCCAGATGAATCACAACAGCAACTAGTTTATGTTTTTTTTGTTTTTTGGGTTTTTTTTTTTTGAGGAAGATTAGCCCTGAGCTAACTACTGCCAGTCCTCCTTTTTTTTTTTGCTGAGGAAGCCTGGCCCTGAGCTAACATCCATGCCCATCTTCCTCTACTTTATATACAGAATGCCTACCACAGCATGGCGTGCCAAGCGGTGCCACAGCTGCACCTGGGATCCGAACCTGCGAACCCCGTGCTGCAGAGAAGCGGAACGTGCGAACTTAACCGCTGAGCCACCAGGCTAGCCCCTAGTTTATGATAAAGAGAGTGCAAATTTTCTATAGCCAAGTTTTCCTGAAATCATATTGTCTCTCATGTACATTTGAAATGATGATTACATTTTATAAAATACAAAAATGTGAAATTATGGGAAGATTCTTTAATTAGCTACATCATAAAGGCAGAACATTGGATCTTATTACAAAGTTTGCTTACTATGTATTTATTCACTTAAGAGTTTCTGAGAGCAATTGCTATCTATGACATACAAAATCCAAGGGGAAAAAACTTAAAAGAATAAGCATATGTTGATTGCCTAAATGTGGCCAAATATAGCCCATTAGTACAGGATTTAAAGAAGAAGACTTAAAAGCTGTTTTATTTGGCAATTTATCAAAGGGCAATTTCTAATAATCAGCATTCATCACTAAGAAATGAGGATTCTTAAAGCTGATGCTAAGTACTTCAAAGTCCTGAAGTTCTTTTTAATTAATCCATAAAAACAAACGAGTAAGAACAAAACCTCAGTATCTTCAGAATAGCAAAAACTTTAAGGCTATTCCCTGACACACACATATACCTCCCTCTTCCCTTCCCATACAAACTATATAAAAGCTCATCAGGAAAAAAGTTCTTATGTATTAATTATGCCATCTTTCTCCCCACACGGGCAAGCTCCTCCTCATGCAAAATATTAAATGCCAATATTTAGTAACTAAGAGTTACTATAATGCTTTAATTACCATTAGTTTTAAATCAAACTTTCTTGGATTTTTGAGGCTTTCCTACTAAGAAAACAATCAAATATTTGGTCTTTGAGTATAAACCAACCTTCTCTTTACTATTTTTGTTGAAGCCAGTATATTATTTCTAAATTTTGCCTTTTTCTGTCTGAAATTTCTACTTGTGATCTTTTATTCTGATACAAATACTAAGAGGAGTTTATTAGTGCCACACTGGGTCATACTTTTGTAGCAAACTGGTGGAAAATAACCAATGTGAAATTCAGACATGATTTTTAAAAAAAGGAACAGATACACTAAGTGATAGAAAGTAATGATCAAGACTACTTAGGGACCGGCCCTGTGGCCGAGTGGTTAAGTTCGCGAGCTCCACTTTGGCAGCCCAGGGTTTGGATCCTGGGTGTGGACATAGCACCAATCATTAGGCCATGTTGAGGCAGCGTCCCACAGGCCACAACTAGAAGGACGTACAACTAAAATATACAACTATATTCTGAGGGGATTTGGGGAGAAAAAAGCAGGAAAAAAAAAAAGATTGGCAGCAATTGTTAGCTCAGGTGCCAATCTTTAAAAAAAAAAAAAAATGACTAGTTATAACTCTGTCCTAGCTACTGTTTCCATCACTTTTTATTGCCAGGGCTTTCTTTCTCTAACTTCTTTATAGACTTTGTACCTCACTGAGTCCTGAACTATTTGGGAATAACACATTAATAAATTTACAGATATGGAGGAATTGCTAATTCTGAAGTATGCCTGAGACTGGAATAAACTGACTAATAATAAGCATGGCAGAAACCAAGCCAAGGTCAATGGAACATGTGAAGAGTTTCCATTTCCAAAATGTTCTCCCTACTTCTCCCAGGAAAAGGCTTCTCTTCTTCAGGCAACTAAATGAATGCAGGCAAAGAACTTGTAAGATACTTCTTTCCCAGAGATGTTCTAAACTTTTAACATTTCAATTGCTTTTATTGCTCTGGTTTCTACAGCATCTATTTTAACTAAATGCTTATTTTTAAAATATTTATTCACTAGCAGTCTTTGGTGTTTTTGATTATACAAATTAGAAAGTGTTACAGGCATGTAACTCTCTCATCACTCCAAGCTTCTCTCTCACCTCTACCAAAATGCATCCTATAAGCTAGCCAGAGTAAACTATTAGCAGCTTCCCAAAGTCGTCACTTTCACCTTTCTGCACATAAGAGGTACTCAATGTCTGGTAATTCTCACTAAGGAATAAGCTGTATGATAACTCTGGAGAGTCTGACTTCAGAGCATTCTTAGCTTTTCTTTTATTATTAGAGCATAAGGCAGAAATGATTCTCTTAACATAAGAATAAAAGCAGTATTTGGTGGCCATCTTCTTAGGAAATAAAGCCATCTCCAAAAAATACTAGTATCAATTCATCTTAGTACACAACTTTTCCTTTTTGGTTGGCTGGTCATCTTCATATCCTTCCAAAGAACTGGAAATTAATTATTCATTTTAGTTTAGAATTTCTTATTTTGACATACCTGGGTCTGGAGTGTAAGTGAATGGCTGAACATCATGAGATCTTCCAGCATTGGTCACTACATATATTCCCACCGATACTGGCAAAGTTATATGTTGGTCATGATATGGGGGAACCTTCACAATAAGATGATTCTAATTTAAAGAAAATTACAAGAGTCAGAAAGAAGCAATATTTAAAATAAAATTTTGAAATAAAAAATCATAATTAAGTACATTTCTTGTTAGCTATAAAGTTTAAAAAGTCTAACTAGGAAAAAAAAAGTTATTTTATAGCTCAGGTTCACAGGCATGAGGACACTAATCTTAAAATTGCTTTTAAGGTATAATCCAAATGTTTTACAATGGCCTACATGGTCCCTGTCTTGTCAATTTTATCTCATTCCCTTCTCTCCCACCTTGTTACACTCCAGCCACACTGACCTTCTCAGTCCATTCTTTTAACATACTAACTTCATTTTTACCTCAGAGCCTTTACAACTGGCTGTTCTCTCCCACTGGGATATTCTTCCTTCACTCTTCAAATGGCTAGTTCCTTACCCATTTTCAGGTCTTATTCAAATATTACCTCCTCAGAGAAGCCTTCTTTGACCATCCTATTTTAAGTAGCACCCCTCCCCGACCTAATCACATAATCTCATTTATTTCTAAAATAGCATTTATCACCACCTGAAATTACTGTGATTATCTGCTTGTTTTTTGTCTCTCCAACCACAAGAATGTAACCTCTGTGAGCACCCAGGATGTTCTGTTCTTTATCTCCACGGTTAAGCAACTTACACAAAATACATTCAAATATATTGTTGAATAAAAGAATGAATAAATTTTGAGGAAAAAAATATGCCCTCCAAGCACAATGTCAGTTACCATATGCTCTGTACATTGTGAGATGCATTTCACAATGTAGGCCACTGCTTCCTAACGATTTTAATTCTCCTTTAAAGTCAAATAGGGTTCATTTTACCCAAACCCCAGTAAATCAAAGTTATTTTTTGTCAGAATAGCAGTAGAAGCATCCTTATAAGAAAAGGGAAGAGTTCATAAATGCTTCACTAGCACTTACTCACCAGGACTACATCTTCTTGGAAGATCCTGTGAACCACATTTGACTTACTTTCTTCTTCCCTAGTACATTATAGTAACAGGAAGGAACATCAAGGGGGCAGTGATTCTGTTTTTGTACTAAGGATGTGATATGCAAAAGGCCAATGCTGACAGCTGAGGGTGAAGTCAGTTTGATGATATTTTTTATTTAGTTAGCCTACAGTTGGTTGACTCACTTGAATAGAATATGTGACAAATGAGGCCAAGGTCAAGGTTTCAATTTCTGAGCACTTAATTTGTTTCTAAGCCATCTTAAAACACTCTCTGAAATATTCATATTATAAATAAAGAAATAGCTTCTGACTTATGGCATTAACAGAATGCCTCCTAAGCCCAGTTAGTCATCTCAAAAAAAATAATGCCAGGTAGAAAAACACGTATAACTTTGTGTACATTCACAGGTATTGGGGGTGCAAATATCTGAAAGCGCACACTCAATTGCACATGAGGTCATCCAAAAATGTACCTGCACTGGTCTAACTTCTAAGAAATAGTTGTTATATCTTATCTACCCTCATTTTTACTCTTTTGTTTAAACAATGCAACTATGTCACAAATAGTTAAGGAAATGGTTGAATATATGGACTTGTGAAGTATCCTTCCAGTCTTAAAATTAGTTGACAAACTCTATAATTGAAATTGTTGTTCTGAACGAAAACTTGTTTTTTGGTAATTAGTAACTGAATTAATATCTAAAAGTCAGATGCACACTTTATCAAAAAACTTTTATCCCACTTGCTTTGGAGAGCATATTCAAGCAAACCTAATTTGAAACCTTTTAAAAACCAAATGAACCTATTTTGATACTAATTCTTCATACTTCCTCAATCTGAATCTAGAAATTCTAAAAGTGATTTGAATTAAAAACTAAGTAAATAGTGAATAGTGATAGAAAGTTGTTTTTAAATACTATTCTTACAAATTAAGAGCCATTAACTACTACTGAGCTAGGAGTACAATACAGACAAAACATACAAAGGGCTGGGAGGCCTTTAGAGCAGGTACAATGTTCTCTTGGGTAAAAAGAGAAGAATATTTGAATTTTAACGTCTTCGAAAAGTCTGTGGGGATTCAAAATAACGATTTCTTTTTCCCAGCAGATAATCAGATAAGCTTTTTCAGAGCTTACAAGCAACGGTGCTAGAGATTTTTCACTCTCCTAAGAAATAATTTATCATTGCCATATTCATTTTGCAATTGGGGATTTATATATATTATATATATATAATATATATTTTTGAATATATATAATTGAAGACACATAACAAAATTCCTAATATACCCAATCTGAATAATTTCTAAACTCTCAAGCCTTTGTTTAGTCTAGTGGTTCCCACAAATTCTGAGGATCTTTTTTGGCATTTCTTTCAAGAACTTTCTTTCCATATTTATACTGAAAATTCCATCTTCTCCAAAGCTCCAACTTCTAATTTTTTTATTCTTAACACTAAAAAATGCAACAGAAAGAATCCAGAAGACTGAAGTTTGAGAAATGAGAATCTATACAATTTTCCATTTTTAATACACTAATGCCTGTACCATGTTTTGTAAAACAACTAATTCTTAAATCAAACTGTATACCTCTTCCTAGTTTCTAACATACCTGTTGTTAGCTCCTAGTTCCCTTTTTAAATCACCACCACACTGCTAAACTCTCTTGCTTTCTTTAAAAATTAACTTATCTTAAAGGGGGGGGAGTTTGATCTTTAAGATATATTTTATATATATTTAATAGGCAATTAAGGTCTTATAGAACTCATCTAAAGTCGTTAAAACAGGAGTAGATATAATGACCATGTGCCTATCACATTTGGTATATATGAGCATGAGACATATTATAGCCTTGACTAGAAGAGCCAAATTTAAACAAAGAATTGTTTTCCCAGACTTTGTTAATCTGAATTTTTATATAATAGGAAAAGTTTAATACCTGATGAGTCGATTTTGGGGTTGTAAATGAATAGCTATCACAATTATTCATAACTGCAATTTGCAAAGTTATCTTTACATGGTCTTTACTCTATCATCTTCTGGGCATTTTTTAATATTGTAGAGCCCCTTTCAACTTTTTGTATAGGCTGGATATTTCTTTACTGACCACACCCAAAGTTTCTTTTAATATATTTTCTAATCACTCTTCCCTGTAAATGTTTCATTTTTGTGTTCTTTTCTTTAATATAATCTCTAGGATCAACTCTATATTTCAACTCTGATTCCACTCTAAAATAATTCCCAGAAAGCCCCTTAGGGAAAAAAAAAAAGACAAAAGCTCTCTCTGTAAAAGATAAAAATTTTAAAATGAACAGCAGAGCCACAGAATCAATGAAAGATCATATTATGACTTAGCTTTTTACATACTTGCTTGCAAAAACCCCAGGACCTCTAGTTATAGCCACCAAATAAGGACATAATTCCTTTCCATTCCACTACATGTCTTATTTTTATGATTATTCTTCTTTAATCTACTGTAGCTGGCATAACGGCTCTGAAAAAACATGTCTTAAAAATATAACTACCCCATGCTTCAAAGGTAAAGAAGAAAAGAGAGAGGAAGAGGGAGAGAGAGAAGAGGAGTAAGGACAAGGAGACAAAGACTTCTTGATATTAAGTTCTATAAGAAACATCAAGTTAAGATTATAATTTGTTGGGGCTATTTTATTAATATTTTGTATAATTTATAAGGCAAGTCTCTCAGTCTCCAGAACTAGTTTTATTATCTATAAAACTGCATCACAAGGTTTCTATAAAACTACATCATAAGGTAAGGAATAACAATTCAAGTAGAGTTCTACCAGCAAAGGAGTTTATATCAATCTAATCAACTCACCAAAAACCAAAATACGTTCATGGTACAAAAAAGTATTGCACGGATAAATTAAGCTTCAGTTAGGACGAAAACTATAGGCATATAAGAAGCTGGTTGAGTTCAGGGCTTGATGTGCCCTCAGAAAGAACAAGGGACCGCAGACCCCAGAGTCCTCTTTGTCTTCAAAGTGAATAAAATGAACTAACAAGTTTTTCATGAGTATCTATTAAGTGCTTAATATTATGAGGAACACAGAGGAGTCATAATATATTGCCTCTAACCTCTAGAAGTCCCACAGAAGAAGCCACTGTTGGTTCATGCAAAGTGGGAATGGTCTGATCAACAAGTTATATAAGAAATCGTAAAATGTCAAAGTTAGAAGGAGCCTCAAATAATCCAGTAAAAGAGCTTATTTTATATATTAGAAAACTGGGGCACAAAAGTAACTTGTCTTACTTAGGTAACACAGATTGTTAGTGACAAAGCAGGTACTAGAACTTCAGTTAAGACTAGTCTAGCAGAGATTGCCCAATGGTATATATGACAAAGAAATGACTCTTGAGTCCCATTCTCTTTTTGACAGCATGTAGTAGCATAAGGCTAGAGGAAAACTTTCTACATAGCATTTGTCTAAGTATATAGGAAGCTCCACTTCACAGGATACTATGTAGTAAAGAATTAACTTTACCCAAAGTGAGATCTAGTCTTTGCCCTTAGCTACTAGGAGGTGATCTCTAGGCCCCTAAAATGTCCTGTTTGATAGTAGTATCTTTGTTTGGAGGCTTTGGCCACTGGACAGTCTAACTATGTGATTTATAAAAGGGCCTTTGGAACATGTTTTATCAGTTTTGACCTGTAGTGGAACTGCCTACTAAAGGTTAGCTGCATGGGCAGTATGTAATCAAGCCTGAATAAAAACTCTGGACGCCAACAGCTTGGGTGAGCTTCCTGATTGGCAATACTCTGCATATTGTCACATCCTGATGTGCTTAGAGGGTAAGGCATCTTTGAGGACCACAGAAGCTTCACCTTCGGGACCTTATGCTCTATGCATCTCTCCCTTTGGCTGGTTCTGATTTGTGTTCTTTTGCTATAACAAAACTGAAATTGTTAAGTATAGTGCTTTCCTGAGTTTTGTGAATTGTTCTAGCAAATCTGAGGGGGTAGTGGGAACCCTTGAATTTGAAGTCAACTGTTCAAAAGTGAGACTGGCCAGGAGATCCCTGAACTTGCAGCTAGTGTCTGAAGTGAGGGCAATTTTAGGGAGCACTGTGCCCTTAGCTACGAGTTTGGCAATACATTGGATATAACATATTGGATATATAATGTTTTAAATTCTTGTTAGATTTTTTTAGAACACAAAGGAATAAAAAATTAACCAAAAAAACACAAAGGAATTACAAACTCTTTTGATAAATTGGTTATAGATTCTCTAATTTTTGCCTCTTCCATCTCTTTGCTTGCTTTCATGTGCTCTTTTCTATTCCCATCAGCATTTTATGCTAAATTTTAGGCTTTGGGTATTTTACACATTAGTTTGTTCCTGTTTCTCTCTTCTGTCTCTCTGATCTACTTCTACACATACAACTCTTGTGCCTATGTCTTCTATCTGATTTGCTCATAAGTCTGTCATTTTCTTCTGCTGGTCTCAACTTCTATGAATTTGGTCCTATCTGCTCCACACATTAATTCTTAAGCCAGTTCTTTACCCTTGTTTTCAAGCTCTTTTTCCTTGTTATTTGAAAAACAATACATGTTGAGGTCCTACAAATAGATTCTTTAATACAAGTGTAACAAATAGTGCTTCTGAATGCAAAAAGGTAACAAACATAAACACCTGGCACATAGCAGGTACTCAAACAGTAAGTTTCCCTTTGGTTTAACTCAACAGTAGGCTAAAATAATCCAAATCCTCAGAGCAAATAAATATTAGGAAAGAAATGTTCATTTATTAACAATGGTAATTTGCTATGTTCTTAACTTTTTAAATAGAGAACTGTCATTTCTAGCATCAGTGGAATAATCCTATCTCAATTAAAGAAACTCAAGAAAGAAACTTAAAATGACTTACATCAATCCCAGATAAAGAAGACAGTTAATCTGTTGATTCAGGAAAATTTCAGAAGAAAACAATTTCTCAGAGTAAACAACAAACTATAAAAATGCTTAAATTATACCTGATGAAATAATTCCATGTCGATTTCAGCTTCTGACTTCCAAGAGTTTTCATCTGATTGAAATAAAAACAGTGGCTTACTAAAATTCTGAAAAAAGTTTTACTTTTTAGCTATGACTATATCTTTATAATAAAGTGAAATATGCCACAATCTCTATACCAGTATTATGCCTACTTACCAGAAACATTTTCTTGGAAAATAACTTTAGTTCCTTTCAGAAAGTTCTTGCCAATTAAAAATACTTCTTCCTCTCCTTTCACTGAACAGCTATGCAAGCTTTTCTTTAAGATTTCTGGCACTCCTGCTGGCTGAGCTGTGGGTATACATAAGCATTACATAAAAAGAACCACTAATACTTATTTCTTATTTAAAATCAAGTCTCAATTATTATCCAGTTCTATAAGCTGTCTTTGTTTACCCCTGAAGTTTTGAATTTGACTTCGTCTATTCTGCAACTTCACTTTTACCCTAACAGAAAGTAGAGAAAAAACAGAAAAGTCCATTTTAATTTTTAATAACTATTGTAAGATTTTATAGGGATGTAGTAATGTCTAAGATAAGGTTGGGTTTTTTTTTAAGATTTTATTTTTCCTTCTTCTCCCCCAGTACATAGTTGTATACATTTCAGGTGTGGGTCCTTCGTTGTAGTATGTGGGACTCTGCCTGAGCACGGCCTGATGAGTGGTGCTAGGTCCACACCCAGGATTTGAACCAGTGAAACCCTGGGCCGCTGAAGCAGAGCACGTGAACTTAACCACTTGGCCATGGGGCCAGCCCCCTAAGATAAGGTTTTAATTTATTATGTCATCTTTGTCTTCTCATTACATTAATAATAATAAAAAGTTTTAAAATATGAACTCAGTTGTGTTTTTGTCTTAATAATCTTTTTTTAAAATTCAATTTAAAAACAAGCTTGTCCCACAATCCTGACCTTAAAAATTTCAGCTATGCTATGCCATTACAATACTTCTGAGGCAATGAGTGCCTGAGTGGTACTGACGGCTTCTTTAAGGAACCAGACCCAGGAATCAGAGGCCCCATACCAAAAGACCACCTGAAAACAGATTGAATCTCATTCAGAATAATTCTTTCTACCAGGGAGATCTCCCTAAACTGGGATACCCTGAAGTTAAAAAACAGAATGCACTTGTTTTTCAATTACAAAGATTAACTGACCACTACTAAAATTAACAAAGAGGTTGAGAAGTACTGAGAAGCCAGATCTAATGAATAAATTGTAATTAGCCTACCAACTTCCTCAAGCCAGGATTTCTTTAAGAAAATTTAGCAGGTATTGCTTAGCAAAACAGGTTCCAAAGGCAAGTAAATCTGAGACATGTGAGGTTAAGTAAAGCTAAATGAACAAAAGGATATCTCCAAGCATTTCATATTCTGATGTACACTGTAAATATCCAAGATGTGGGTACAGTATACAGTTTCCCCAACATATGTGACTCCGGAAACATTCTTCTTACTGATACCTAAGGACTAGTTTCTACCAGCATACTCTCTGGGATACTGGTGTATGCGAATAAACAACTTTTAAGTAATCAAAAAACTGCTCCTCTTAAGGCTAAGCACTTTGTCATAGATGACACTATTTATTGTTTTAGTAAACGCTTCCAACATACATACTGCAAAAGTAAACTTAAATATGGTTTATATAACTCATCAACTAGAAAGTAACGAGATATTCCACTAAACTTTAGGAAAAGTTTAAGTTGTTTCCCCTTAGATACTTACATATTTAATAGTTAATTTTATCTTTACAAAAATGTAGTGTGGGAAATTGTTATTGTCAAAATATTCACGGCTCTTCTTTCCCTAGGCCCTTCCTTTGTAGAAAGGCTGTAATTCTTGCTCCACTCACGTGAGAACTGATCATGTGACTTGTTTGGATAATGAAATGCAAGCTGAAGTAATGTGCCAGTTTCAAACAAAAGCTTTAAGAGCCTCACACAGTTCCACCATCTCCTTTTTCCTCCACTACAAAAATAGCAATACTGCATATAAAATATCCCAGGCAGCTTCTTCAGCCTGGATCCCAGAGTGAAGAGAATGAACCTGCTTCCAAATCACAGCCAATACTATCATAAAGTGAAGGACAGGGCCAGCCCTGTGGCATAGTGGTTAAGCTCGTGTGCTCTGTTTCAGCGGCCCGGGGTTTGCTGGTTTGGATTCTGTACGCAGACCTACACATCGCTCATCAAGCCATGCTGTGGCAGCATCCCACATAGAAAAACTAGAAGGACTTGCAACTAGGATATACAACTATGTACTGGGGCTTTGAGGAGAAAAAAAAAAGACGAAGATTGGCAACAGATGTTAGCTCAGGGCCAATTTTCCTCATCAAGGAAAAAAAAAGCAGAGAAGTAAAACAGCTGTTGTAAGCCACTGAGTTTTTTTTTTTGATTCTTTGTTACTGCAGCATCATTTAGCCTCACTTATTGATACAAAAAAGTTAGTATCCTATCCTCATTAAATATTTAAATAGCACATGATCTTTTCAGCAATGGCTGAGAGTTTAAAAGAAACTGTAAATGTATATACATATACACTGTCTAGAACCCACAGGGTTAATGCATGAACAGAATGGAAACAGTTGTTGGTCATACACTGGCAATTATACAAGCTTTTTTAAATAAAAAATTAACTGAACTAATTTATAACATTTTGGAGTAACTAGATACTTGTTTTTAATGGACATTCAAGAAAAACATGGTAAATATTATTTTGATTAGAAAAAAAGAGGTGCAAAATTATATGAATACATTGTATTAACAAAATGAATGGAAAATCTATAATCTTTCCCCCCATTTTCAAATACCATGTGGAAATCCCACTTCACTAATGATTATCAAAACTTTCTTTAAACTATTCCACTTTTCCCTTGTATTTATTAAAGGCATAAAATAGCCAAATGAGGCCTCTCTGAAGGTACAATGTGTATTTATCTTCTATATATTTGTATTTACATCACACAAAGAATTAGTCTGTTACTATTCAACATAATTTAACTTTTAACTTTTGACCTTAAAAGGTTTTCCTATTAAAAAGGTTTTCCTATTAATGGTTACCTAACAAGACAGACTCCATACTAAACAGAACTAAAGTTAGGATTATTAAGCATTAACTGTTTTTTTTTTTTAATCTTTAAGTAATTAGTAAGCTGACTCTTGAAAGTGATTACACTGCTTAAAAAAAGTATAACGAAAAAAAGTGGCCACCTTTCTGGTATTATAAAAACAATGTGCTTTTAGATGCTTTTCAAATAGTGGTCTCAAAAATAAAGCTGAAAAAAATTAATGAATATCTGAATACTTAACAAAGCAAATATTTCAACCTGTCAAATGAATTAGTAAGGCTTTTTAATAGTGTCTGTGAAGAGAAGGAAAGTTTACTCAATGATATTATATTTTTCCTAAAGTTGTGGGATAGATAGGAAGAAGATAAGTAGAAACTTGTTAAATTCAGTCAGATTTAATACAATAAGCATTATAAGATAAAATCTAATACACATTATATTGAAGAAAGCTATGATTAATTTTGCCATATTAAAAAAATTACTACAGGAAGGTAAATACTAAAAAAGTATGAAAACTGATATCCTTAATTTGACATAGTATAGCCAAATAATATAAACAATATACCAAAACAAAAAACTATATATACCTGCATTGTCTGGAGAAATCTAAAGATGTCAAAAATGTAAAAGAGGATGATTGTTCCATCCCCTTAAAAACAAACAAAAAGATAGACAATGGATCCAATGGCCATTGTTAAACCAACAAGTAGAAGCAGGATTTTTTTTAAGGTCACAAGGCACAACATAAATTCTGATATTGGGCCTTATTTCCACTGAATGTCTCCAGATGGAAGATCAAGTTTTTGTTTCCTCTCCTCCCTTCCACCTCTATTACCTTTTGGCCTCTCTTTCTTTCCTACCTCCCTCCCTCTCATCTTCCTGTTTCCTTCTACCTCCCATTCCAATCCTAACCTTCTTACTAACCTACTTTCTTTTCACTCTTCATGCTACTCTAACTGCTCAAACCTGCCAAAAAGTTATATTCATGGAAATAAACACAAACCAGAAACCAATAATGGAACACACTTATTTTTAATTTTTTAAATAAAAAGATTTTTGGGGTCCTTTGTTCCACTGTGTATTATTTATGTGTTTACTTTTCCTTTCCCCTCATACCCCGTACCCCAAAGCCTAAGTTCAACCCTCAGACTCCCTAAAGTGGTCAGGATAAAATTTAAATTCTTTGGCTCAACACACAGCTCTCTGTATGAAAGAGATCTTGCCTAGCTCTACTAGCCTCAAATCTTATCACTTCTTTGTAGGTATCTTTCTGTTCCAAACACATCAATCTTTTTTTAATTCTCCTAAAAGAAACACACCCTTTCATGGAATATATTGTACACTGTTCCCTCTGCCCAGAACGATCTTCATCTAAACCCTGTTCTGCCTGGTTTACTTCTATTTGTCCTTCAAGACATAGCACAAGTTTTACCATCTCCAAGTAGTCTGGGTTAGATGTTGAGACGTTGTTTTCTGTTTCCACTGTACCCTATTCATGCATCTACTATAGCCTTTATATCATTTTATACTATAATAGGAAGTTTGCTTATCTGTTTTCCCCTCTAGTCTGCTAGACTGTAAACTCCTTAAGCTATCATATCTTTGTTTCCAGAGTTGGGCACATTGTAACTATCCATTAAATTAACTATGAAGCTTTCCCAGAACATTCTTAAGATCCACTGATGAAGTGGCACATCTTTTTTTTTTTTTTTTAAAGTATGCTTTTTGGTGAGGAATATTGGCCCTGAGCCAACATCTGTTGCCAATCTTCCTCTTTTTTTTCAGTTTTTCTCCCCACAGCCCCAGTACATAGTTGTATATTCTAGTTGCAGGTCATTCTACTTCTTTTATGTGGGATGCCGCCACAGCATAGCTTGACAAGTGGTATGTAGGTCCATGCCTAGGAACCAAACCGGCGAACCCCAGGCCACCAAAGAGGAGCACACGAACTTAACTACTTGGCCATGACTCCAGCCTCCCCTTTTTTTTTTTGAAACGCACCACAGGAGACTCTAACAGATAGCCAGGATTGAGAAGCACAATATTACTGCCTGCCAAATTTGCTGACTAATCTCACGAACATGAAAAATTTTAGTAGTATATATCACACTTTTTTAAAATAGGTCAAATAAAATGAGGAACAGAAATAAAATGATGATCCAATTGAAACAAAGACACAAAATAAAATCCTTCCTATACTCTACAGTACATACCAGCTCAAAACAATGGACAAATAAAATCAGATATCTCTTTCATGCACCATGTCCTACCTTGAACAAACAAGATTTCCTACCTCTCCTGTTATATAAAAAGTGAAACTAATCATTTCTAGTCTATTAGCATCACAGAGTTGTTGTCAGGATCAAATGGGATAATGCACAATGATTAGTGGGAAACTCCATTAGAGCAATAGTCACTACAGAGGAAGAATGACTTAACTACTGAGGAGCCGGAAGCAGCACTTGGGCATGATTAGCCCAGTTTCTTCCCTCCCTCTTCGGCATCTGCGTACCTGCACAAAGCATACGTTTTAGACTGTTGACTGCCAGATGGGGAGAGGCCTGCAATTGTGGAGGGCTGCTTTGACTGAGTGGATAGACATATCCTCCTCTGGACTGAAGCAGCCAGTCCTTTTTCTAACACTTTTATAAGTAGTAAAATTGGTATTTTCATCTCGATTTCTCTAACTCCTATGTGTCTAACTCCTACTACAAAGTGAACATCTATTTATTAACTTCCTAAGATCTAAACATACAAGAAAGAACTTTATAAACCATACAGTACAACATAGAGATAACATACTACTATGAAAAGTAATATTAAAGTTAATACCTCTTCCTGTTCATCTAGTCTAATATTTAAGCAAAAATAATTAAAAATAAAAAATTTTAAAATATTTCATTTTGTTATCAGTTAAACAATAAAGCAAGATTGTCTGACCAACCTACAGCCCTCTGGGTAGTATATTTAATGAAAACTCATCAATATAAAGTAAAATTACATTTTGAACATAGAATGATGGCATTCATTACACAGAACAATAGATTTTTTAAAAACCAAATCATTAACCCATTAGGAGGAGTGTGCAGATCAAGAGGCTTAGACTCTTGCCTAAATGATTAGATCTAATTGACATTCACAGAAATTACTATTAGAAATATTTTAAGCTAGTTACACAATGTTTAAAAAAATCAGTTTGTATAAAATTCTATGAAAATAGTAACATTACTAAGAAACAAATATGAAAACTCTTTATTACGTTAACTTATTTGCAAATTAATTATTATTCTAGCACTTCCTTTTCCAAAAGAGGCATGGGGACTACTACTGCAAAGGTACCCCTTTCTTTAAAAGAAAGTACTGCCCATGTTTATCTAATACAGTTTCTGTAGGCAGACGGCAAGATAAATGCCAAATAGTCAACTAAAGGAATAAAAATATATATCCTACACCTCCTGGTAAACAACATCTACAAAAGGAAATGGAAGGGGTAATAGAAGTATTCAAGTAAAATCCCCTAATATATATTGAGATCCACTTTCTAAATTCATAGAAAGTCTAAATTATACAACACAAACCTCCTAGGAAGAGGAAACAGTTCTCTAACATAATTGCATACTGTAACCATAGTTCTAACCACCCAGAAGCTATGGCTAGGATGAAATAAACTGTTCAAACTTTATTTCAGCACTGCAATTTAAGTGACCGTGGTGGCAATATAGCATAGTGGCTAAAAGCAGAGGCTCTGAATCCTGGTCTTGTTATTTACTAGTATGTGACCTCGAGGAAGTTTGATCTCTCTAGGTCTCAGTTTCATCAACTGTAGAAGGGAATCCATATAAATTGATGGTGAGAGTTAAATGATATAATGCTTATAAAGTGGTTAACAAAATCGCTAGCATATAGTCACAGTTCAAAATATGGTAACTTTTATTATTAGCTAAATATGCCCATCACTGTATACTGCTGCTTCTTAGGGCTATCATATCCACCTCAGACACAGCCTCTCGGGGAGATACACTTTTTTGCAGTGTGGGCATATATTATCATTAATGGTGATAATTAACAATAATAATAATTATAGATGAAAATTTTCAGAAAAATCATGTTTTCTATTTTTTTGTGTATTTTCTACCATCATTAGCTGGACATACTTATACTTTAGCAATATCTTAATGAGATAGGAAACAAAAAAATGAAAGAACAAACTAATGAAAGGAGCGAACAATAAAGTTAGCAACCATTTCCCAGTCCCTGCTAAAGCAATATGATCTGAATTATCTAACATCTCCTGGCTCTGGCCTTCAGAGAGTGGCTATGATCACACTCAAAGTATTAGATCATGTAAAAGAACTGCACATGTCCAACTAAAATTGGAATTCCATTCTAATAACATTCAGGTTGGGACATATCATGAGTTATAGTAAATTCAGCATTGGAATACCTCAATTAGAAAAGCTTTAGAACTCAATGAGCCATCTACAGATTATTTATTCTGTCCCGATCTGAATGTGATAGAATGGACATGATAGATAGATCTTTAAAAGCAGCCTATTTATAATTCAACACTACCCAGAATTAACCCAAGGAAATACTAGTATCAAAACAAATTTTTCATAATAATGAAAAATCGAGAATTGATGAGAAATTAATTTCTCAAATTAATGAGAAATCGAATTGAGCTCTCTCGAGATCAGAAAGATAAGTTTAATACTTTCTTTTTAAAATTAAGGTGTTTGCTAAAGTATAGCTAGAATCATTTCTGAGATGAAATAAAAGGAAAAATAAGATTTACCAAAGATGAATAATTTGACAAAACTAAGCTACAACTAAATAACAAAGGCTCTGTAACTGTCGTAGGGGTAGCAAGGTACTGATACCCTTAACAACTCAACAGGAAATTCAACTGAAGGGGACGGGTCTCTTCTGCTCTTTTGAATTCAAGTATAATTTACAAAGAAACAAGGCCGACGAAAATTACGCTGAATGAAAATCTTCTTAAGCGATATATAAAGGAAATGTTTTCCTATTTATTACTTGTAATAATACTCATTAGAGGGAAACCAGAATATATGGCGAAGCACATATAACAACCTGATTGAATTTAAACACATGCACATCATTTACTTTCTACGTCAAGGTTAGCAAGATAAAAATTTCATTTTCCACTTCCCAACACTATACTATAATAATATACTTCGTAATCAGAACTCCAACTGCTGTGTATTTACAAAGTTCTGCTTATTTTACTGTTTATGTTCTAACACAAAACAGAGTTAGGATCACAGCAATTTATCACACAATAAAGATGACAGGAAAATTCTTTGGCTTTGCAATTTACCTCTGGTAACTATCCAAATCACTTTTTAAATCAGTATAGGATGAGAATAGAAAACTGCAAAATGTTACATACCTTTATTTATTTGAATATTTACTTGAAATTACCCACCTTTAGTTTAGTCTAGAAAATCTGACTACAGCTTTTAAAGTGTTTCAAATTTTGCATGATCATAAGCTGCAGTATGTGAAACATCTGAAATTTAGAGATATCTGAAAGATTAATAGAAAATGAAAAAACTCCATGTATTTAAAATCTTTACATTTTCTTACTTACTACATAAAATTGGAGAAGAAGGTGTCTGCAGTGTCAAAGTGGAGCCATCTTTCCTTGTGATATTAACTCGAAAAACCAATCTGGCACGAGTGCTTTTTTTCTTGGAACCAGCAATTCCTATTCTGGCTTCCACATCAGCATTCCTCAATTTTAGTATCCCTACGCAGTCCACCCTAACACAGAAAAAATACATTAACTGATATTTTCTGTTGTATAAATAGTAAAATATTCTTTTTTATTTATTTATTTTTATTGAGTTAATGATAGGTTACAATCTTGTGAAATTTCAGTTGTACATTAATGTTTGTCATTCGTGTTATAGGTTCACCACTTCACCCTTTGTGCCCACCCCCACCTCACCTTTCCCCTGGTATCCATTAATCTGTTCTCTTAGTCCACATTTTAAAATTCCTCATATGAGTGGCGTCATACACAGATTATCCTTCTCTAGCTGGCTTATTTCACTTAACATAATTCCCTCAAGGTCTATCCATGTTATTGCAAATGGAATGATTTTGTTCTGTTTTGCAGCTGAGTAGTATTCCATTGTATACATGTACCACATTTTCTTTATCCATTGATCTGTTGTTGGGCACTTAGGTTGCTTCCATGTCTTGGCTATTGTAAACAATGCTGCAATGAACATTGGGGTGCATAGGACTTTTGGAATTGTTGACTTCAAGCTCTTTGGATAGATACCCACTAGTGGAATGGCTGGATCCTATGGTAGTTCTATTTTTAATTTTTTGAGGAATCTCCATACTGTTTTCCATAGTGGCTGCACCAATAGTACAATATTCTTAATCAAAGAAGTTTCTTTCTTAAAAAAATTTTCTTCTTTAATAATTTTTTTGAATATGTAATATAATCATAAGGTTCCAAATTCAAAAAGTACAGAAAGGTAAATTCTGAATATTCAATTTCTAATCTTGTCAACCTTTTGTTTATAATAATAATGGAAAAAACAGTAAGGAAGTAAAGTCACTATTTCAAATCTGAACATAAGTAATGGTTACAAGGGATACTTTTGCTGTTTTTTGTTTTTGTTTTTGTTTTGCTGACGAAGATTCAATCTTCCTCTTTTTGTATGTGAGCCACTGTCACAGCATGGCCACTGACAAGTGGTGTAGGTCAGGGCCCGGGAACCAAACCCGGGCTGCAGAAGTAGAGCTCACTCAACTTAACCACTAGGCCACTGGGGCTGGCCCTTGCTGTTTTTTAGAAAAATAAATAAATTTAGCCTCTTTCTTTTTACAACTAATTCCAATATTAAAATAGAGGGAATGGATTTTACTTTAAAAAAAATTTGTAACAGTCCCCAAATGAATGGAACACTACATAGCCGTTAAAATGCATGCCATAAGATAATATCCAATGTTATGGGAAAATGCTCAAGATAAGTGAAAAGCAGGCTACAAAACAGTGGTTACAGTATTATCTCAATTTTTTTTTTCTTCTTCTCCCCAAAGACTCCCAGTACATAGTTGTATATTCTAGTTGTAGATCCTTCTAGTTCTGCTATGTGGGACATCGCCTCAGCATGGCTTGACAAGTGCTGCTAGGTCCATACCCAGGATACGAACTGGTCAAATCCTAGGCCACTGAAGCAGAGCACACAAACTTAATCACTTGGCCACAGGGCCAGCCCGGTATTATCTCAATTTTATCAGAAAAAAGCCTGGAAAGATAAATATCAAAATAGTGGTTATTTTGGGCTGGCTCTGTGGCTGAGTGGCTAAGTTCGGTACGCTCCACTTTGGCAGCCTGGGTTCAGTTTCTAGGCGTGGACCTACACCACTTGTGGGTGGCCATGTTGTGGTGGCTACCCACATACAAAACAGAGGAAGACTGGCACAGATGTTAGCTCAGGGCAAATCTTCCTCAGCAAAAAAAAAAAAGTGGTTATTTCTGGGAAGTTGGCTTTGAAGGAGTATGTTTTTTTTAGCCTTTTATTATTATTATTATTAATTTTTTTTTGCAGAAGATTAGCCCTGAGCTAGCATCTGCTGCCAATCTTCCTCTTTTTTGCTGAGGAAGACTGGCCCTGAGCTAACATCCATGCCCATCTTCCTCTACTTTATATGTGGGATGTCTGCCACAGCATGGCTTGAAAAGTGGTGCGTAGGTCTGCACCCAGGATCCTAACCAGTGAACCCCAGGCTGCCAAAGTGGAATGTGTGAACTTTGCTGTCCCACCGGGCCAGCCCTATTATTATTTTTTATTATTCTGTATTTTCAACTTATAATGACTAAGCACTACTTTTATAATCAGTAACTTCCTTTCTTCCAACTATATATATTTGTTTTTATAATTTTCAAAAGTTGAAAGGTGAATCTTTATTAAATATTTTTCAAAACTTCCCTTTTCCAGTTAACCTCTTACCAGCCTATTCAAAATGGCTTTCAAAAGGAAACTGAAAACCAAGTATAGAAAAGTCTTTAGGTATCTAATACAAATAATTACAACATAGGTCTACCCCATATCAATATATTTGGTGCTATTATGGTTCAACTTTAGGATTAAAGGTCCTTAACAAAAGGTTTAAATCATTAATACTTCTAATATTTTTCAGGCATTAAAAACACATAAGATGAAAAATACATAGTTCCAGGACATAATTTTTTAATACAGGAAAATAAAATAGAAGGTGCATTTAGACCCAGCAATGTGCTTTTTCACATCAAGATGGATCAAGGCACCACGAATGGTTTCTGTCAAATAGTTTCCAATGCAAACACTAAGAAAGTGGCATTTAGGAAACCAAATCAAATTGTAAATTTTATTTTTAATGCTAATATTATTAATCCCAAAAAATAAGTCTATGTTATTTTCCAAAAAGTCAGCATTCCACCTGGTTTTTATTTCCCTGCCTTTCACTATTGGAATTCTCCAGCAAAGGGCAGAAGGGTTAATTTTAACCCATTATTATTCTGTAATAATCTATGTTTTTGTTTATAGTGTTTAAAACATTTTAATAAAATACTCAAAATCTTCTTTTATATACTAGAAACTAAAAATTTTTCCTCCTACTGCAAAAGTGTAATGTATAACAAAAAAATTTTACTAAGTACTTACGCTAGTGTCATGTTGTTACTCGGATCAAGGCCAACTTCTATAACAGTAGTGCCTTCAATGTCCACTTCTTTGCAGGGAGTCGTATTTCGCCCAGTTACCCTGCAGGCCTGATAAAACCCATGTGGTTTCACTCGACCAGAGTCATTGCCCACAAACACTTGCAACACTACTGGCTCATTATGGCCTTCCAGCTGGAGTGAGATAACATGGAACATAAACAGTAATTAGTCTGTCAAATAATCTAATTGTAAAATCAAACATTTAAGACCAAGTCCTATATTTACAACTAGATTACAATAAAGAAATAATTTAAATCCTCAAGAAAAACAGATGAAATATTTTCATAAAAGAGAGTTGGCTAAGTTTTAATTCTGCAATAATCACATTTTAATTAAAATTTTAGATGTTTAATGATAAATTATTTATAATTAATTTGTACTAGATGAGAATAAATACACAGTCTTTTAGGTATTTATAAATTTATGGACTGTCAAAGAATCATGTAGGTTATGTACAATTTACCACTACCACCAATGGAAAATTCAGTAAACTGTTAGTGGTATCATTAATCATCATCAAACAAGAGTACATATACTAAATTTTTATTCTTTTAAAGCTATTTGAATAGAAAAGTGTTTGAAGGGCAGCTATATAAATAATAGGGAAACAGAGCTCATTTTCAGAGACTAGATACATACATACAACATCATGAAATCCTGAGCCAAAAGATTATGGTTCTGAAAAATTGCAAGTTTGAACCAGGATCTATGGGTCACTACAAGACTCCAGCAACTCTTCATAAATTAAATTATGATTTGTATGCTGAAGAATAAATAAATAAACAAATGTTTCCAATGCTGATTCTTGGTAAGGTTTATAGTTAAACATTGAAGCTGCTAATATAGAATGCAGAAAATCACAAAATAACTTGCACGATGTACACCAAAGTGCATAAAAAAACTCATATATCTTTTTAATCCCAGTATAGGCGTATCTCTGTGAAATGATACAATAAGGAGGCAAATAAGCAATTTACCTAAACTGTTAGTCAGCAGTTATCCAGAACAGTGTCTGGCACATAGAGAGGCACAATATTTGTTGAATGAATGAATGAATAAACTTTTAAGTTCAGGAATTCACACAGCATCACAGTTAGGCAATTAATCTAATAATACTTCTGACCAGACAAGTACTTATATGAAGTATAACAAAGCCCAGCAGTTAGACTAAAAATACTGACCAAACTATCAAAACGTTTGGTTAGACCAATATTCACACAAAGCACAACTTAAATTTCTCACTTGCGTATTACCCATCCTGAGTTTGGGAGATTGAGGAAGGGTTGGTGTGGTGAGCAGCGGAGGGGTAGGAATGATATTTGTACATGTGACAATTAACCAATCTTATAAAGGTCACAGGTAAATTTCCCAATCCCAAGTTTCTGGTACAATTTCATGAAAGTATAATATGAAAGGCAGTTCAATTAATGCATTTACATAAACTATCCAACAAGAATCTACCATGTGACTAGCCATAATTCCTCCCTGATTAGTATTTTGCAGGGGTAGGAACACTTGTTAAAAATCCCCCATCCCAATTTCTTTGGTTTGTCTTCAAAGAGAAATATTCTTTCTAACAAGGTATCCCAGTTGCTGAAATTTAAGCCTCTTTTCTTCCTGTTGGTCTAAGTTCTGAAAAGATGAAGACTCAGATGATATCCTATTTCTTAAACTGAAGACTTGAGTTACCTATCAACCAATTCTTTTCTGAGTTGAATACTCCTAATTTAGCCATCTTACAAACCTTATTTTTCAAGTCCATAATAATTTCTACAATACTTTTTCTTTGAATTCACTTTAAAATTTCTTCTTAAATATAAAGTTTGGGAAGAATCTAATACAGTCACTACCAATGTCAAATATAAGGGTAAGATAATTCATGATTTCCAGATATTTTACTTATCAGAACACATACACAGCTCTCCTTTAATTTAAACTAAAATTCAAATATCAAATTAGCACTATTTGGCTATGGTTCAGTCAGACTTTAACTTTAATTTTTATTGTATATAGCTAGTAATTCTATCCTTCTACTTCAGGCAGCATTTATTGGTTAAAAACAAAATAAGTAATAAGTAAAACTGGAGAAAATTCTTCACGTATTGCAAAATGAAGTAAGTACCTTTACTGTAGGAAACCCTTGCTGTGTTCTATCCTTTACTGAGCCACGGCTACCCTCAGTCAGATACCGAGCCCGGTGCTGGGTCTCAGGTTGTACAACTATCTTCAGCTCCTTTCCCTCACATTTAACAGGATACTGTCCACACAACATAGGGCTCTTCTTTACTCCAGTTCCTTTTTGGTTTTCCAATGTTCTGAGAAGTCAGAGCACAACATGGAAAAAGTATCAAAAACAGTTCTCTACAAAAGTCATGTAAGATAAAGGAAGAAACAGAATGGGCAATAACATTAAAAACAACTGATTATCTTACTGATAGAATAAATACAGCCTAAGGGAAGATACATTGCATAAACAAAATTATCTTTTAAAATTTTGTAATAAAATTTAACTATATGATGCAAAAATAAAAGAAAGTAGTTGGACAGAGAAGACAAAGAGTGCATATGTGTGGTAGGAGGAAGGAGGAAGACTGAATGCAATGAACTGGGAATAACAGGAAAGAGAACAGATGATGTCATTGTAACCTTTCACACTGCATTTTAGTCAAAATAAACTTTTAAAATTACATATATATGTGAGTGTTACATAAAGCTACAAGATTAACTATCATTATTTTCTAATCAATCTTGCAAAGTCAAAGAAAAATGGGGGTAGCAAAAAGAAACAAACAAAAGGCCTTAAAAAACAACTGAAAGTACATATAGCATATTCTTTGGGATATCTTTCTCAGTATATCAAACAATTATAATTAAAAAATCAGTGATTCAATTATTATTGGGAAATTAGCTTTACTCTAACCAATCTTTCTCAGAAGTGTAATTTTTCAGAGTATTTTTATTTGTGATTAGTTAAATAATTAAAGCCCTTAGCATGTAAAAAATTTATAATCTGGGCTTTACAGATAGGCAATGTAATTTATTTTTAAAAGTTGTGTTTCTAATGTTTATTTGTTTATCATACATTTGCTATGTGGAATGTATATTCAAAGAAAAATATTTCAAATGGTAGTTAGGGCTTCAGGTCAACACATTTAATCTGAAGCACTGCAAATATGTGATAAAAATAAATAGAAAATACCAGGGACTGGGGTGAACTCCACGGCTAGGAAAGGGATAGAAGAATGAAGGAAAGAAGGGATGCAAAGGAATGAAATAAAACTGACTGGATAGGAATGAGGGTTCTGAGGGCAAGTACTATGCTCAATCATCCCCATATTCCCTGAACCTTGCACAATTCTTTAAACAGCAGGTGCTGAAAAAATATTTGTTGATGAAGGCAAATAGGAAGAAGAAACAGACAAAGAAAGGACAGCAAACGAAAAAAAGACGCTTCTACAATAGTAAGATCAAAAGGACTGGACCCTAATTGGCCAAGGAATGCCATTCGTGTTTGACATAATTAATTCAAAGATTACCTGTGTAAGTCATTTAAAAGGCCCTGGAAGAATAAATCCTATAAACAAAAGTGTCAAGTTGAAGCTGGGATAATGGGCAATAAGCGCTATTTTTCTCTTTATCATTCTGGGTAGAAATTCAAACATTTTCCCTGAACACAATGTGTAGTCCCTTACATATGAAATTCTATAATGATATTCTGTTTTTCACTCATTTTAAAATCAAAGCAAAAATATTCACTTACTGATGTTTTACTATGTAAAAACATCCCCCAAATATGCAACAAAAGGAACTAAAAGAAAATATAGCAAAGTGCTAATATCAGTTGTATTGAGTGACTAGATTATGGGTTATTTTCTTCTATTTTTCTGTATTTTTCAAATGTTTGTAATAAATATCTGTTAATTTTATAATAGAAAAGGAAACACTGGCTTGAAATATAAGGAAAATTTATCATATCAATTAATTTGTCAAGATATGATTTTAATATTCACTTATGCTAGCCAAACTAATATTTATGAGGATAAATAGATGATAATGAGTTTTACTATTTCAGCAAAACAAAATATTTCATTTGGGATGACGATTGTCAAGTGACGTGAGAAAGTATACACATTATGGCTCAAAGAAGAATAGCACATATAATTTAAAAATTTCTGAAATGATACTTAAAAAAGTTCTTAAAACTATTTTTATTCTCTAGGTTTAAGCATAAAAATGGAATACATACATATTTAGATCTCTAGATGTGTGAGACTGAAAACAACTAATTCTTAGAAAAGTAATCATTCAAATTACTAATTTTTAGGGCATGATGGCTTCAGAAAAAACAAGAAAGTAACAGTTAATTTTATGGACTTTTACTTCTAAATGACATCTAAAAGGAAAATCCACTGTCTTGGCATATTCTATTCAGAAGTCTTAAAATGATATCCTAATTCCTTTGTGCTACATATCCTTCTGGTTACCTATGTCAAAAATAATTTTCACTATAAAATGCCTAAAATAGGTTTCATATCCAGATGACATCATATCTTAATTTCTAGGAATATCTAGAAGAGACATAGGGCTACTGATTCTCAGGACATTTCATCAAAGAATTCAAGAATGATATAGCTAGGAATGTTTAAATACTGAGCAGTTTTTTAAAAACATGGTTTTGTTTTCTTAATAAACTCCAACTGTTATATAACACTTTAATTATATAAAAATGCCATTTCCATCTTGAAGACCAATAAACTGCTGTACGCAAATATTTGAGAATATATTTTCTACAATTTAGAATTATATAAATTATAAATTCACGGCACATTAGATCTACAGCTATAAATACCTTATCTCTCAAAACATTTCTAAATTTCTTTCACGTTTCTAACATCTTTCTTGTTGAAGAATATAAGACTTTAGCTTGAGATCTTCTTAATAATTGTTTTCAAAGGCCTATTTTTCTACATATTTACATGTGCTTTTATCCTTTCCTTGATATAGTCCTTATAAATTCAAAATTTAAACTTCTTCCATTATTTCCATACGCTAGTGTCAAATATTTTTCCATTACCTAAGAAGCTGGACAATTCTTCTGCTGCTTGATGAGTTTCTGTTCCATGAATAATTTCATGAGAGATTTTGTCTTGACAAATGTTATTATACTTTCCCTGGGTAACCTCAAATCATTTCTAAGATACATCTATCATACAAAAGCAGAAGCAGAAAAGATGTAGGTCAAGATATCTCTTTAAATAGCAACTGCAAATCATGTATGTGTGTTGACTAAATCTAAGTCAAAATTTTACTTGTTCTTCATTTGAACCTTTAACATTTATTTCAGTATAAAACTGAAAATCTCTCTTGTGGAACTCAAAAAAAACTTTCTCCATTAAAGCCCAAATAAACACATACCTGTTTAATCATATACATGAGACTTTTAGATCTGTGCTACTGTGTTTCAGACCATTATTCTATAGGTAATATTTCTACAAAAATGTTCTAGAATTCCTGACTCTGCCAATGGTAACATTTTAGGAAAGGGTCTATCTTGTTTTCTTTTAAATAATCTTCTAATCTGGACTTTCTAAAAATGAAAAACATTTAAGCATGAATTTTATTTAACTATGTAACACCAAAGGAGTTTTAAATGAGAGTAGAAAAGAAAGTAGTATAGAATAATTATTGCTTAAATGGTAGATAGATATTACTTTAAAAATGTACTGAGAGAATATCTGGACAAGTTTAATATACATTAAAAATATTCTTTATAATACTCAACTAGATTTTTAACTTAAAAGATAACAACGTCATCAAGTAGTAAACCAATTGACAGCTTCTCTATCACTTTTTGTGACAACCTGAAACTGTAGGAGATGCTGGGTCAACTAAAGGACCATACCCCAAATCCTAAAAAAGTAATCTCTCAAAATCCAGTGAGTTAAATTTTATCAAACTATGTTGAATATACTGTAGGAAAATCTAATCAAAAAGTCCAGCAATTAAATATTACAATAAAAGTACTAAAGGATTTAAAAAGTTGAAAATGTCATAGTATTCTGTACTATAGCAGTGAATATTACTGTAGCTATTGAAATATATTTAGTGAATGTTGTGAACCGGCAGACATGAATGACAACTCAAATGTGTACCATGATCTATCACCCTTCAAATACATAACCTAGAATCACAGGAAAAAAATTAGTGATATATATATCTCTCTCTATTTTTTTAAATCCTGAATTGGCACAATGAAAAAGCTTAAAATAAATACATGAATCTAAATGAGGAGAATCAAACTATGAATTTAGCTTTTTGTTTTCATCAAATAAAACAGAAAAATAAGGTGTAAAAATCCTCACAAAAATGGGAATAGATTGAACCATATGAGACAACGTGAAAGAAAACACAAACTAGCCTTTTGCGAATGTTTTGAGTTGTTTTAGCTAGAGCTATCACGTTGCTAGTTATTTCTAGGAGTAAAAATACTTTAAAATACTTTTAAAATAAAATCTATTTGAAATTTAAAAGTTATTTCAGAACAGATTATTTTCATTTTCTGCTACTTAATCATACTCATAATAAGATACCTACTGCTAAAATCTGTTGATATTTTATTTTTCCTCTAGTGAAACTTGGTAATTTTAAGTTAAAATTTTCACATATTTCAATGATAAAATTAGCATCTTTGCTTTATATGCAAACTTAACTGAGCAATTAATAAAAGTGGGGAATGATTTTTTTTTGTTTTGCATAATGGTGATAGAACTTTAAAAAAATGTGAATACCAACCCATTTCCTGCTTTTGAGTTGCCTTTGTTGTCCGTGGTAAGCTGAGAAAGCACATAGTGAGGTGCTTTGGCACTGTCGGCATCAAATATATCCATATTAGATTCTTCACAATCTCGTCGTTTGACCCCCGGCCTCTGCTTTGGATTTCGTTTTCGTGATTTACGAGGTACCTCAGTGTTATCATTGTAGGAACTGGTGCTCATGTTACTGAAGTTGGAGGGGGAATCCTCCATCCACATACTGCAGCTCTGCTCAGATTCCAATCCACACCCCTCATCCTGGCAGGACATCCGACTGTTATCCAGCAAGTCCTCAGGTGGTGGTGAGATGTACAAGACTGTGTGCCTCTTCGGTGTTGATGGATGCTGCTGAACTGTGTTACTGGTTAACTGCTTTTCACTTACCCCTCTGTTACTTACCCCCAAGGCTGAGGAGCAGCTCTCCACTTGCATAGCCTTGCTGTCGGTGACTGAGGTAGAATAAATGGTAGGGCTGGAAGAGGTGGTAAAGGAGCTGCAAGCACCGCCCATGGAGGAAGAGGAGGGAGCTGAAGAAGCATCTGCGGTGTACAATTTAAGAGTAAATACACTATACATGTTTTCACCTATGCTGGCTAGCAGTCCCATTGAAAACGTGATTTGTGAACTGATTGTTTTTCCCCAAAATGAATAGTTGGAATTTGGTTGTTTTAGAATATAAATGCTTCAAAGCAATACAAGGCCTAAGAAATGCAATTTAAAAAAATGCCCAAATAGCATTAATTTACTTGTGTTATAATCGATAGATTTTTTAAAATCTAATGTTTTAAGCTGTAAAGCAAGAATAAAGCTTTTATTGCCTCAGCTGGATGTTCTGTTGAATTTTTAATCATTTAAAATAATAAAACCCCAATATGAAATATATGCTTGTGGTCCACATTCAATGCCAATTAAATAATTCATTATAAAATTTGAAAAGTGGGACTGTGCTTAGCCACAAAATATTAAAATAAGTTTCTAACCTATGAAGCAGAGAACTACAGGTCATTTTTAATGCAGACACTCCCTGCTTCAGAGGCAAATCCTGGAATAAAAATATGAGAAAATAAATGAGAAAAGAGCCACTGATTATTCCAGATATCAATTATAAAATGAGAAATAAATAGAAAAAATATATAATCAACTGAAGTGTAGGCAAAATGGAACTGGTACCGTCACTATGATTGTGTAAAATCTAGAAGAATAAAAGTGAAAAAGGTTTGATTTGGAACATGCTGGGCTGTAGAAGACAAGCAAGTTAACCAGTGTGGATCTCCAGAAGTTGGAAGTGGCAGTTCAAAACCATGATCTCTAAAATAAATAAATCCATCCTTAATGCAGAATGAAAAGTAGAGTAAGGACTGATTATTGAATGGATTTCTCTTATAAAGTACTTGATCACAATACTCAGCAACTGGTTACCACTGTCCATTTCCTCTTTTAAAGGGCCTGCGTGGTTTTAACTATTAAGGGAATTTCCTAATATGAGTAACAGTAAATTTTCTTAGATGAAGTCTAACAAAAATTAGTTAAGTAGAAAAAAAATCTCTGGAGAGCACAAGAATTAGTTCCTATAAAAAGATTTTTTATAAAACCATTCATCTATTACACCTAGCAAAAATAATTTAAGTAGATTTTTTAAAAATGTGTGGCAACTGGCAGAATAGCTCATTGAAAAATAATAAGACTTTAACCCTTAACAGCATAACCTCAGAGGCACACTAAGAATGTTAAGGTGGGAAGTAGTCAGTCTTAAAATTTTAGAATGAACATTTTACCTTGTATAAGATATGGAAAGGTTTATAAACATACACACAAAAAAATAAAAATAGGTAACGTGACAGATAACTAAGAGATACGCTTAAATCTAAAAGTATTTTTTACCTAAAGCCAAGAACACCACTGTTTTAAAGCAGTAGGATAAAAATTAAAACTGTGATGTGCAGTTATTGGAATTGCAAGATTCATATCAATCATAATATAAAGAGTGAAATGTAAGAATGCCAATGTTTAGATAATCAAAAGCCAACTGCCAAAGATCTATTTTTAAATTGAAAACATGTACCAAAACACTTAAATCACTTGAAAGAACTAAATTCACCCACAATTTTTCATTGCTGTCAAGGCAATTAATATTAGCCATTAATAATGTGATCTACACAAGGCCACGTGGAAAGATTTTTCGCAACTACCATAAGTTAAAGAACCTAGAGCAATTAGATGATACCAGTTCCATTTTCCAGTTTGTATCCTTGTCAAATGCAGTAGCTGAAATTGGAAAATTCAGTCACTTTAAACTGCATTCCAATTTAAAGAAAAATTTATCAATTTTGTATCATGCATTAATGCAATGTTTTCTTAGTAAATAAATATTTTAAAAGATTTGTAAAAACTACAAAATCTAGATGCTAATGTCAGTGACAGTTTAGGAGCTGATTTGTAGCCACTTTGGGTTTAAGTAACAAGTTTTTTCCTCATTTTTTGAAAAATACTATAGAATTCATTTTAGAAAAAATAAGAAAGGTATTACGTCTAACATTCCTCCATCTGTTCCAACTATTGGCAAAAGTGAAACTAAATTTTTGTGTATGAGCCTATGTTCTTCAAATTTCCAGAGAAATACAAGTATGCAGCATGCAATGTTTGCAGTGAAATACACAAAACATGCAGCAGGAATGCTGTGAACTTGTATTTCTATAAAGCAGCTCTCCCCAACCCACTCTTTTTGAATTTAAGTACCATGAACGTGAGAATGCAGAATATTAACATCTCAGGGATCCCAGTTTACCACAGATGGAAAGTACAGGTGAAAAAGCAATCACGAACTCAAAAGCAAGTTATGTGGTATTTATGAATTTAATATGCAAGATACAACCTAACATTGCTCTTTGAGGTCTATCTGATTTTATCCTGCACATCTTATCAAAATGATCAGGGTTACAAAATCCAACAGATATAATTATATATAAAAGTTTGTTCTGGGACAGGTGTGCCAAACTATGATCTCATAACCTACAGAAATCAAAATATTCTACACATTTTCCTTGGATACCTAACATACAATTTTTATATTTTACCTGCAGTTTCCTGGATATACTTATTAAATAAAAAAGTTCATTACCACAAAACTATGAAACTGAAAACATAAACTCTGTCAGAAGATAGCAGTAAAGTATCCTCTAATTTAAAAATATTACTTTTTAAAGTCTATCTCATTTTGATCCTAAATTACAGAGATTCTACTCATTTTAAGACTATAACAAGACAATTTTTTGTAAAAGATTTTACTTTTTTCCTTTTTTCTCCCCAAAGCCCCCCGGTACACAGTTGTATAGTCTTAGTTGTGGGTCCTTCTAGTTGTGGCATGTGGGACGCCGCCTCCGTGTGGCTCAATGAGCAGTGCCACGTCTGCGCCCAGGACTCGAACTGACGAAACACTGGGTTGCCTGCAGCGGAGCGTGTGAACTTAACCACTCAGCCACGGGCCCGGCCCCAAGACAATTTTTTTTAACTATAAAGTTTTTCACAATAGTATCATTGTTCTCTGATGATGATGATAATGGCATACACAATCCTTCACATAAAGATGTTATATTCTGGTTAGCAAGGCATCACCTAAGCACATTAGTAATGCCAGGTGGGGTGGTGAAGTGGAGGATAAGAACTACAGGCCCTTTAAGAGCATGGACAATATCTTTCTCATCTTAGACCCTCCCAACACCTAACACAGTTCCTTGTACGTAGTAAAAATTCAATTTTTTAAATTAAATTGATGTATGGGAAGCCAATATTTGATATGCATGTTGTTATATTAAAGTTAAATTGGTAAATAAATGTACCAATGTATCCATAATGGACATATCAGGTCTAAAAAGAAAATTTACTACTCAAAGTGCTTAGAATATATATTACTATAATAGTATTATCTGATACAGGAAAGGATTTAGAAGTAACTTAAGAGTTTAGAGGTGACTATTCTCTGTTTCTATAAAGAGTGAGCTAATAATTTTCTTTCTTGAAAGTATATTAAAGCCAAATCAACCTACTTTTGAATTAATTCATAAGTTTACAAAGAAAAAAAGTCCTTAATATTATCTATTAAAAAACAAATGCATAAAAATAACATCAAAAATATTTTAGATTTTTAAACACTAATTTGTCAATTCCAAGCATTCCAAGAAAAGCACTAAAGAACATTCCTGGGATACTGTAAATGTACTTAAAATATCTACAAAGACTTTTCAGTCACTATTATCATTAAACATCAAGAAACAGCTTAATTGACATTCTATAGAATTGACATGTTAATGCAATCCTGCCTCATCTATACATTCTTTTTTATTTATAAGTTCTTATGAACAAAATATGCTAACTCTCTCTCCTCCATTTTTTTTGGTTTTGAGTCTCTATTTTTCACTATTAAGAAGGTAGAGATTATGTTTATCTGCTGCATATTAAAAATACAAAAACTCCAACATAAAAGTTTTAATAATTGCTTTTATTTTCTCACTGAGAACAGTTGTAATATGTTTCTATTTTATAACTTTATAATTTTATTTGTTCTTAAATCCCTTACCAATCCCCTCATAAAGTGGGAAGTTTTTCTTCAATTTTTTCTTAAAATTATTTATCGTCTAACTAATGTGAATAAATTTTTACTGATTTTTTTCTTTTATGAAAAAATTTTTGAACCTAGAATTTTATTGTTCCATAGCATTTTCTGTGACCACAGAGAGAACAGCAAACCAAAGGGAAAACTGATAGACTATTTCTCCAATTTACTAATGGAAATGTATAATTTCAAAAGAATAATTCTAAAATTTATAAGTGAAGGGAAGGATCACATCTATAGTATTCTATACCTAAGTCTAATAATTCTATTATTGGCAGTAGCCAATTATTAGACCAAATGTCAGTAATAATGGTGAACTTAAATGGCATATATGGCTTCTTTTAAGAATTGATGAAATCATTAAGGTTCACTATGAATATTCAAAGTAGTTGGGATAAAAAGAGTGGCAGATAATATCTACCTGGATATCCTAGAATTTGCAAGCATTATTAATTTGACGAGATTAAAATGGATTTTTAAATGGTACCACATATAGAAACCTGTGTAGATTTCATATATTCCTTGCTTAAACTGAATTTTAAATTTAACAGCTATTAGTTTTAGATTTGTGAACTAGAAATTATTTTTAATTACCATTTCATTTTAGTGCTTAAAATACTGCAAAAAAGAGATGACACTTCATATGGAACTAACTAAACTTTTTATAGAAAGCTCTGAAATTAGAAACATTCTTTAAAGTCTTCAAAGAAATAACTACCTTTCACTGATTTAAAATATATGACAGAAATGACATTTAACTAAGCTTCCAAGATAAAAATGTGATCCCTAGCATTTAAATACACGCACATATTTTATAACTTTTCAACATCAGTGCAAAGTCAGTTGAGTTTCCTAAAAAAACCATTGGAACAAAAGCCATAAAATTTTGCAAATGTGCTAAATGAACCAATAGTGGAACGGAGAAGGAGT